GGTGAGTTAAAAAAAAAAAAATGGAGGATGCCTGAGTACAATGGTAATGAGGGTGGCCAAGATGGCCTTCACGAAAATGTCCCCTTTTATGAGATTCGTGAAGGCACGCAATATTCCAGTCCTAGGTAATAGGTATACCTTGCCCAGGTCTACCTATTTAATAGGTACCCAACCTCTGTGGATCTATAGGTATTATATGTATGCCTATATACACAACTTAGAGATTAGACAGCTGAATTAGAGTCTGACGTTTCCTGTCTTGGTATAAATGTCTGTTAACTCTTTACTTTATGTTCCACCTGGAAGCATTAGACTTGATATTTATAGTGATATTATCATCTGAATGGTGATAACTTATGATAGTGAATGTATCAACCCTTTGAAGCAGGATGTAGCTCAGAAGAAACACCTGTTTCAATTCAGAAAAAAATGCAATTGTTGTAATCCGATATGCTCAAAACTGCATACTTAGGAACATTTTGAATCGCTGAATTCAGATCTGAAGTAGAAATTTCGAATTTTCAAGTGGCCCAAAATTCTCCGAGTACCAAACGTCAAGTGCATTGTGCGTAAGGAAAAATGTATGCATCAAAGGGTTAAGTGGATAATCATTGATTACTGTTGTCATTGACAATAGGATTTCCATCTAAATCGTATGAATAAAGGATTTTAAAAAATGACTCGTGGATGAGTATGTTTAATCAAGATTCTGTTTTTCATTAAAACTCTGTTAGACTTTATGTATAAAAAATGATTAATTGCCGAGATAATGTGTCTATATTTAAGCCAAATATACGCATTTCCAATTAACAGGAGCTGCCTATGGCATTGCTAATAATATGATTTTAAGCACTATATGTCGAGTGACATATATGTATATTATCTTTAAAAAATTGTTTTCTTTCGATTTGCCACTTGTGTCAGACTTGGTAGTTTCCATTACTGCGCCGTCACTGCTAATAATATCTCAATGACAATAAACGTCAGATTCGCATAATCATTTTGACATACCTGTCCGATGTTATCAAGAAGTTTGTATTGGTTGAGCTGAAGAGCGCCTTGTCGATTGTCTATGGAGACTCTTCGGCTCTCTCTCAGAGGTCTTCTCCTGGTCCTGGGTGAGCCCTGAGGGCTTCCGTAAGGTGAGTAAGGACAGTAAGGATAGATAGGCCTGACACCCATGAGACCACCGTCGGCAAGGAGTCTGTGGGAGACGTTGACCTCGCCCGGTGAACTTAATTTTCTAACTGGAGAACAGCCGATCATCGTCGGCGTCAAGTGTTGACCTGGCTCTAACATTTCTGGCACGTCGAGCACAGGCACGCTATCGGCATGAAGAAGTTTCTTATCAACCGGTTTGGATGCAGTGACAGGAAGTGGTGCGTCTTCCTGTCTCGAAATTTGTAAGGAAATCCTTCGATCAGCCAAGTGCGGTACTACGCCGTCACCACGATCCTCGGACTGTGTCGAGAGAAGTTGGTAGACCTTAACCGGTTTCGGTAGTAACTTTACACCAGTGTCGGCGTGTTGATTCTCCTGAGCTTGCTCCTCGTTCCTTCTCTCGTCTCCCTCGCTGAATCCGTTCTTAGACAGTTCCAGCATTTTTTCTTCCCCCTGTGTACCGACCTCTTTTTGACCCTCTGGTGACTTTTCAGCTGACCTCTCTAGGATGGACTCTAGCTCGGTGGTCGAGAAATTCGGTGTACTGTACTGATGCACGATTCTTTTTCTTTGCCGATAACTCTGACCTGACAATGACGACGAACTCGCGTCAAAGGATTCTGCACGAGACAGATTTCTAGACTGATCTTTGTCTGACCCCGCTCTGGAGAGCACTTCCGCGTAGGAGAGTGCCGCGACGAACGGTACCTCCTCGGAATTCATTTTACGTTCAGTGGCACTCTCTTCGGGAGAGTCGTCCTTGAAGAAGGTCATCGGGGCATTTCGATGTCTCGCCGGGGTGGAACAATCTCTCTCAGTATCCTGACCCAACCCATGAAGAATCCTACTAGACCCAAAGCTCCCACGTGTCCCACATATAAATGACTCCTGACTCAGAGTTTCCTGCAGTTCTGCATCCTTTGCTTCCTGAATATCGGGCATCTCCAATCCCGAGCTAGAGACCTTCCTGTGCACCTCCGACGTCGGCATCCTCTCGGTATTCTCAAGTTCTTCGCCCCGACTTATTCTGCGTATCTGATACGTCTCCGACGTGATCCTTTTCGCGGAGGATCTTCGTCTCTCGCGCGACCCAGTCAGGTCGACCTCAGAGTTCCTTCTGTCCTCGTCAAAGGTCCCTCTGTTGCTCCCGTACCCACTGCTCTCCCGTCTTGGCGCGAGACTCTTAATTCTAGTGCCCTTCAGACCCTCCCTAAGATCCTGGAGACTCTCGGACTCCTCGAGATACAGTGCACTGTCCTTGCGCACCTCTCTGATCTCCTCCGTATCCTCAGCGTTGTTCGTCTCTTCGAACTTTCTCGTCAAACTTCCATCGAGTTCAGTCTTAGCACGTGAATTGAACCTGGTGCCAGTGTCTATCTTACTAGACGCAACAACTTTTCTTCTCTCTTGAGACTTATTCTTATCCACTACCGGCAGAGATTCGCTGATCCCGGATTTAACTTGGCTCTGATTATTCTTGTAAGTGCACGTCGTCGTCGTCGTCGGCGTCTTCGTCGTCGTCCTTGATCCAAAGACAGCATCACCGTGACCAGCCACAGGAACCTCCGGCACGGCTTCCGGCTCCTCGCTGGGCGATGATGTCAGCTTCTTTGCTGAAATACCCGGTGATTCCTCGTCGACGGCACCGTGTCTATGAACGATCAAAAATACTAAGATTAGCCTAATTAAATATTATCCATGAGAATCAAAGCACGAGACTGGCTTCGTACGTGCACCTACACCTATAGAATTTTTATATTTTTGAAAAATAATTAAAACACCCCAAAAAAGGTACACATAAAAAAACATCACTGAGGGAAGAAAAGTTTCTTCTCGAAGTCTCAATGTACCATGAAAAAACTTCACAAGTGCCAACTAGTCAACGGGATGAAAAACGCAATTCAAGGAGATTCGTAAAAGATCTTGAAAAAGTTCGAGAAATAAATATCTATAATAAGGAGCAAATAGCATCGGAGTGTACGACGGGTCCGTCAAATAATTTCGAAAGGTTTTATCGAGCAATGTCTCATAAAACCCTAGGGACTTTTACTATGGGGATATAGTTTGAATAACAACGCTATACGAGATACGATTGTAAAAGTTCTCCGTCCTATGACAATTTCCCAGAGTTGTTTGCCGTGATGGCGCCGTAGGGTCCGAAGAGCCTAGTAATATTTGTCACGTATTTTTTCAAATTCTTGACCCAGCCCATGACGGCAAAAGAATCCAAAAATAGTCGACTACTCACGATATACTATATGGATACTACGAAGATTTCGAAACACCATACTTTCCCCGACACCATATATATGTATGTATATAATTAGCAATGCAATGTAATAATGGCCCAACAGACACAACATGACGCCTCAAAAAAAAAAAAATCCCCACAAAAACGTATGGCGATTAAATAAAAGAAATATATTACAAAGATAATTGGATATATTTGAAAAAATAAAAATAAAAGGCACTACAGCTATGTACAACAAGCCAATGTTGTTATATCGCCATTGTATAGACCAAGATAACTCGTCGTTACGCAGCATTTAATGCCATATTACAAATATTATTAATGTCTCTCTCCACGTAGCCGTAAATCGCCGGCGATAAAGATTCTCGGGCTCCTTTTGCCGATTAGAGTTACATAGGCGCAATAGCGTCGATAAGTACCGCATAAAGCGTGGTACTTAAAGACAAGCATACGGGCAAGCTAAATAACCTGACGTTCGATAACGTACAGGAAATATACCGATATGTCGAACTGAGGAAAAATTTTACAAAATTCAAACGTGCGGAGGTTTTCTATAACTAAAGGCCATGGCGAACGTACAATATCTATATACATATACACAGTACAGTAGGGTATTGGCATTCCATTAAATCCTATGTCTTCGGTTTTGTGACGACTGCGTGAGAAAATATATAAAATGCATATGGTGTATATATATATATATATATTTTATAGACAGCTATAGATATCTTACCAATCTGTAATTTAGATCGAGTCTCGGCTCGGTGTTTCGAAAAAAAAAAGATATATATCATGTTAGACACGTGCTGCGTTAACATATGAAATTTAAATGTCCAGTGGATAAGGACAAGAGTGGTTATGCATATCATGTAAACGAGGATGACTTGACCAAGTGATATTTATACTAATTAATCTTGCTAACCTATCCGAATCGCAGTAATGATTTGAGGCTTAAAAAAAAGAGTCATGGAAAAGGCGAAGGTGGAGGTTATTAAAAAGAAAAAAAAAGTAGCAACAAGGATTCACAAGCATATATAGATATGCAGTGTGTAACTCAGAAGAAAAAACGAGCGCATACCGTCACGTCTCGAATATTTATCGCAGATGTTACGCACCTTTGCCGTTTACGTAATACGTAAATAGGAATTTCAAGTACGCTGCAGAAACGACGAGGGATATTGAACGAAGCGCGAAGCAACTTCAGAAATGATGCGGGTAGCGTAATTACCCTGTATGCTTGCAGGTAGTGATGCATGTTGGATTTAAGGATTTTTCAAATTTTCAAGTAATATAGTTTTGCTGAGTTACAAAAAAAAAAATCTTGTAAAATTTATCTTGGAAATTATCCGAGTATCGTAATAACCTAATAACGAACACACCCTACATACTTGGAGGTATTAACGATAGAAGGTTTTTTCAAGTTTTTAAATCTACCAACGTCCAGCTAATACGTTCTGACGCTTTAAGAAGAGAAAGACAGTGCACAGTATACGCAACGATCCTTCTTTAATTGCATGAAATTATATGGGCGGATCAGAGACATATTTCCTATGAATTGACTCCGATTATTACGCAGAAGATTGTTATTACTTAGGGCGTATCGTACCGTGCTTTACCCGTTATATCCTGTATACCGTAGTACCGTCGAATTGAGATTTAACGAGAGGTGGGATTATTAATTCAACCCTCGTGGAATTAGAGAGATAATTACCATCCCTCTATCGTCTAGATTGTAGCGTTGGCTGTGGGTTAATTGAAAATAGCGATGGAAAAGATGACGTACTTGAGTTAAACATGGTTATATATATATATATACATATACATTTACAATGAGATCAACATTGATCCCGGCTATCGGAATCGTCTCGGTACTTTTGCCGATGTAATAACGAACCGAGTATATAGCATCGAGTATTGCGCTGGATGCTATTACTTTGACTTATGATACTACTCTCAAGTTCTGCGATCTAATAAGGTGTATTGGGAGATACCATACGCTTGGTAAGAATCGCATGTCAACTGTTGGTATAAAGCTACAGAAATACTCGAATTTTGACGATTAACGTAATCCACATGAAAAATGTCCGGTTTTCAAAATTTTCTATAAATCGAAAACTTTCATACTTGAACAGCAATATTTTTTGCACTATATTAAATTTCTTATAAGCGCCGGATGTATGGGATGGATAAAGGGGTAAGGATTGTACCTTGATCATACGAATGTATAGGTGTAGTAAATATATCGGTTATCGATATTTGTCAGTATCACGACAGTAACTGTATCGATGATTAATCGATTGCAGGGAGGACGGGGAGTGGGAGGGAAACCTTCGTGAAAAGGGTCGCGTGTTGCTTGTTTAAGGTCAGTGCAGAGCGCCAAGGGTTCTTATTGAATGCACGGATGAAGATGAATACAGTAAATTCGAATGACGGCCAATCAATTAGTTCCTATGGGTCGCGTAATAATCAGCTAGTATATCTATAGTGGCTTTTTATGCTTAACCATAAATTACCACAGATAGGATAACCGAACGTTTCTATATGTACATGAAACATTGCCGACTGACATTACATGATTGATAAACGATTTTACCGCGGTTGCGAATTTACCTTAAATGGCTGCGATTTTCGCATATGGGAACGCATTGGCAATGTTTATTGCGCTATCGCCCAGATAGATTGGAAGATTATAGTGCGCCATAAATATAGAAGGTTACCCGCGACAATTGTATCACCTGAAGTAAGCTTGTTTGTTTGATTTGTTTAGTAGAGCCACCTTCAGGTGGTGCTTTCATCGTGAATAACCCTATACAAGGGTATTCAGGCCGGTTCGACCACCTGAAGATGGTTCTGTCCATTTGATTTCTATCAATGTCCATTGTGTGACTATCTTCAGGTTATGCAATAGTTTTGAATAATCGTTATATGTGTATCACGATATATAAAGATGTCGAAATATTTGATTTAGTGGGGGTAAAAAAATTATTCGCGACACGACGGCCCATATTATTTGTTCATTATGAAACTTTGTTTTTCGTATCGTCGTTGCACCTTTTGCTGCTGGCAGATAGAAGATTGACAAAATTAATAAAAATAATTCGTTACGAGCAAAATATACTTCGATGAACGTGACGTAAAAGGGAAATTTATAGTTCACTGTTAGACTATGTTTACTAGGACCAAATATATTCACTGCGTCGAGACGTTTTTTAAAATTAAATTCTCGACTTTTAATTAGCATCGCTCGACTCCGCGACTTGTGCAGCGACACTCGCGACCCACATTCTTGGTAATTAAGCCCCGCGACTATTTGGCACTTTTCTTCCTTGTTTTTCCCGCTCCATTTCAGAGACGCGGCAGTTTGCCGCCAGGTTACAGTGGGAGGAGGAAAGCAAGTGGAATTTCTTTTTGGCGGGAAAATACGAAAGAGGAAGGTGTCTTTTGAAAGCTTTACTCGATTTCTAAGCTTTTAGGGATTTGAAAAGTTTCTCCAGAAATTCTACTCGTAGCCAGGCATCGTGTTACACCTGGTGTCGGTTAATTGGATACAAATTAGTTTATAAAAGTCCATTCAAAGGAAACGACCGGAGCCAAGTCCATAAGGAAAGAAATAGAAAAAAACTTGATAAAAAAACAATACAAACCTTTCCGTGAGAAAAGCTATATCCACGGAGTTCCCATTTCCTCAAATGTCAAAAAAGAAACTCGACGGGATCGCAAAGCAAATAAAATAGAAGAACGAAAAACAGCACAAAATTATCACTAGAAAAATTTTGAGAATAAAAAAAGCAGTTCAAAGTTCACAAAGTTTTAAAAAGTCTCTCACTTCTCGTACATGGTAAAATTAAATAATTCTTAAACGAAGAAAATTCCTAAAAAATACATACAGTCACTCAAAATAATGTTTCAATTTTATTCTCGACACGCATATATCAAAATATCTGTAACGATTGCTCAGTCCAAAATTCACCCTATAACGACTAAACAAGACGACTCCGACCGTCAACAGCCTCGTCGTAGCAGAGCTGAATACGTTCTGACTTGCAGCAGACTTCACGGCGGACTCAGCTGCTGGTACTCTCTGCTTCGACTCGTGGCACCGACTCGGTACCGCGTGTTACCACCACCACCACCGCCAACCGCCAGGACGCAGCCAGCTGCCTACCAACCTTTCCTGAGAGTGCGAATACTTCGGCAAGCCCAACCAATGGCGCGAGGTTAGGTCAAAAGGAAGGTACCTACCTACGACCTAGATGGCTTTCCGTCGTATCCTCTGGCGCGACACTAAAGCGTACTTCGGACATGATTTTGACACCGTCACAAGGACGGTTAACTGTACAATATGTATATTCTTTGGACATTCCCCGTACGAGTACCGGGACACAAGACCCTGTGAAAAGTCGTTCTTCCGTTTGGCTGAAGTCAAATTAGCCACGTCTCGTTGCTGGAGCATGTACATATTTCCAGGAAAGTTGATAGATTTACGGGGTAGGTTGCTTAGTAGTATATGTATACGTATATACATATCAGCATGCTCGATTAGGTAGAAGTAGAAGGAAGATAAGAGACATGCATGCATTCAGGTCGTACTGTTGTTTACTTTCGGTAGATCGAAACGTGAAGTTAGTCAAGTATACAACTAGATGTTGTATTGCCATTAGAAAACCAATAGGGAAGTAATAGTATAGTGTTTTTGACTTAAGTTTGTACATTTGTAATTGATGTCACTGGCGCTGCTCGCGGATAGCTGAATTATTGAATAAAGATGCATTTTTGCATGAAGCTACTTTTTTTCTTTTTTTTTTTCTTTCAAGTACAATTGTCAGGTGACACGTAAGCCAGTATTATTGACGTGTTTATTATTTTGTTCTTGTATTTCTTTCATGTGCTGTTATTCTTACTTAGTTTATCGTGACGCTGTGGGACGATGGACCATTCGCGTCATTTAATGCATACGATGTAACTGGATTTTGTGGACAGTGCGTCAATCCGGTTTCGTGAAGCCTAAGATTGTTCCGATGAGAAATAATAGGAAAATTATCATAACAGGTATTAGGATCGATGAGTGATATTTCCAATGGCTGGGATTTTATTGATTAAACGGTTTCAATGGAATATTTTCATGATCGTTGGAGATCACATTTATATTAAGGTATTTGGTGACAGTGGGAAATATTGAGGAAAACAAAACTGCACTTGATGTCCAACGATTCGTGTTCTATTTACGTAATCGAGTTAAGCGTCATTTAAAAATTTATTTCGAGCTAACGAGAGCGATTTGTGTTTTTTTTCAAAAAACCGTACAGACTGTCATTACGAACGGTCGTAAAGTTATTTAAAAATAAAAAATTTGGAACTAATACTTAAAAAAAAGGAAAACGTAATGAAAGCCTTGTTCATTGGTCCAAATTGATTTTGCAGAGCATCCATTTGAAAAGCCATCTTACGCGCGGGATGAAAGAGGAAAAAAGATAACGAAATTAAAACTTGAGCTAATGGCTGTCATTCCCGTATCTAAGCTTCACGTTTTTAAAGGTATATCCGCGTTCGATGCTTTTGGACGTCACGCCCGAGTAACGCCGAATAAAAGAAACTGGACGGGATCGAAAATGTACGCGGGACGAGTTGCTGCGATTTTAATTGAAATTTATATCAGGTTCAGTGACAGCTCTCCTTCCTTTATTTTGCCTAGTCATAATATTTATTATAGAAAAAAAATAAATTATTTTTTAAAAATTTTCATGGCACGGTGCAACATTTCATCTGGCACGCAATACTCCAATTGTCAAAGTAAAACATTTTGTAAATAAACAAAAAAAGTTACTTCGTACTCACTTTGGTATGTCGCCGATTCGTGGTGGTCGACTTTTGCGTGGACACACGTCGCCCCATACGCAGGCTGTAACAGAATGAAAAAAGAACGTCGAATGAACGGGTAATTTGTTTTTCGTACGTGAGCGCCTAACGAGCCAAGGAGACTGAAAAAACTAACCTCAATTAACGAGACCCAGCGTGCATAATTCTCCACTCTTCTATACGACCGAAGCATGGTTATCGTGCACCGTCCAAAAGTGAAGAAGAAAAATGCGCCCGTGCGGTACCGTAGGGAACGGCTGGGGGCTTGTCGTTAGGTATAACGTAATAATAGCAAAAGTTTGAGCAAGAGAAGAATAACTGTTGCCAACCATTAGGCGACGTTGGGCCCATCATGGAGGTTAATTTAAAAATATATATAAATATACAACTGCGTTATGCTGACAAAAATTTGTTTTTTTTTTGTTTCACCTCAGTACTTGCCTATATCGTGGACGCGTAGGAGCTTCGAAAATGAATATAAATATGAACATATTGTTATTTAAAAAAATTCATTTTACCAACTTTCTATTTTATTTTTATTTCCAAAATTGTGTCACAGTGATTGCGATTCTCGTGCCCGGTACGAACAGATAATAATCAAGTGACGATCGTCAAACGCGAAATGCTGAAGCTCGCCAAAGGTCGCTAACGTATTTCATTGTAATTATCGAAGTAACAAGCCAGTATAGTGCGACTGCCGTGCATTCTACCATGGGCAATTTTCTCTCGGTTCCAGAGAGTAACTCGAGTGTCCACAGAGAACGAGAGAAAAAGTGACAGAAGTAAAGATAATTGAATCCATTAGGTTTGAAAAATTTTAATAATAAATAAGATAAAAAATTACTATTTAATTTTCATTTTATTTATATTATATACGTCAATAAAATAATTAACAAAATAATTTTTTTGCAACGCTGTACGGAAAGTATACAGTTTGTGCAACAAAAAACAAGCACAAAATGGTCCATTCTTGATTTCACCGCACGGACGTGCGGGAATGTTATGATTCCCGAACAGTGAACTCATCAAGGATCGGCCATTTCGTGCTTCTTTTTGGTGCATATACTGCGAACTTTCCGTACATTGTTGCAAAAAATAGTATATGATACGCGTGCGGGTTGGTGATTCCTACTCACTCGTCAGGAATCATCAACTTTCCGCACTTGTATCATAATGTACTATTTCTTCGTGCTTCTTTTTGGTGCATATATGCAACAAAAAACAAGCACAAAATGGTCCATTCTTGATTTCACCGCACGGACGTGCGGGAATGTTATGATTCCCGAACAGTGAACTCATCAAGGATCGGCCATTTCGTGCTTCTTTTTGGTGCATATACTGCGAACTTTCCGTACATTGTTGCAAAAAATAGTATATGATACGCGTGCGGGTTGGTGATTCCTACTCACTCGTCAGGAATCATCAACTTTCCGCACTTGTATCATAATGTACTATTTCCTCCACAAATTTTTTATTTCTACCTGAAACTCGAAACGGTCGAACATGCTTTCATTTAGTTTCTGCACGTTTTCCATCAGCTGTGAATACTTCTCGCGTGTGGCAAAGCGAAAATACGAAATTACAGGTACGCGGAAGCAAGGCAAGTGGGCATATTAAGGCTTATCCACGATCCAGCTTAGCAGAAGAATGATTAAAAGGAAAAAAAAAGATTCAACAGCCTGACCGTTAAAGCGAACGCGTCCTACACGGTGAGAGAACCGAGAAAAATTGCTGGAAAACTCTTGTATAAATATATCCAGATATTTTTCTTTCTTCGTAGATGCATTCTCTCAACTTTCTCGCGCACGTGCAACTCCGCTAAAACAATCTTCAAAAACCTTCACGACTATTCACGAGTCTGGTTGTTCCACGATCCGGTGCTCGAGCAAAGATAAAATTAAAAGAAATACGAAAAAAAATTTTTTTAAAAACAAAAAAAATAAAGCTTGATAAGATCAAGAGATAAAAGTTCGGCATCGAAACGCACTCAATATTTCTCACTTATCGACCAATGAAATTTCACGGAAGCTACTCCAGCCCTAACAAAATTTCACCACGAAAAGTTACCCGATGAAGCCCGTAACTTCCTATAACTTCTCGTAACTTTAAACGAGTCAGCCCAGCAAGAGGCTAATGGGTTCTTCCGTCGAATTCTAAGCAGTGAGTCACTTCCGTTCGTATTCGGCATACGCTAAGCTACCAATATTAAAAAAAAAATTGCACACAATGATCAATGCTCCGAATGTAAATTTATCATCTATCATCTCAACCACGAGCCACGGACAAAGTAACTCCGGATGCTGTTGAGAAATTCTGTAAAAAAAACCAGACAAGTAACACAAAAAAAATTCTTCCGTATCGCGGTAATTTTAAAAGTATAAATATATGCATACACTATACATATATACCACACAGAAAAAGAGTTACTTAATCCACGTTATACCAATTACTATAGGCGAGTTTGGTAACTACCAGCGGAAAGCATAACTCTGTGTAGGCAAATCGTGCAATGACTTTAATCTGTGGACCAACAATTTGTTATATACGCGACAGGTTTATTAAATAACACATTTATTGGCACTGGTCGGAAATAGGTGTATACTATATACAGGGTGTGCTGGTTGAAAATGGAGCAGCGGATGATAATGAGAATGAAAGATTGTGACTCGTTATAAAGATACCATCCTAGAGATTGGATCTCTGTATATACGTGAGTATACCTTATACCGTATACCATAGTATCGGTACTACTGTTGTACTGTATGTACAGACGTTCTAACAATCCCAACGTTACGAAATGGTAATTGCCGACTGATTGGCCGTTCCGGATCGTTTGACGCCCCGTAATCCTCGACGTGTATCGTAATCGAACCGAAACATTGCTCGGGTTCGTTACGCTGCTACAGTACCGATTACCCATTAACGGCGGCGTGTCTTGTTGAATTTTACGCCAGGACAATTTTCGAGCGGGAATCATGGGCTCGTTCGAAACTTCTATTGGGTAGCGTGACATGTTGCAAAGTAATTTAAAAAATAAGGCATATTATACATATTGAATACATACTTTTTGAATAAAAGTGAACGCGTGTTTTGATAACATCAATAAAATAAAAATACGTAATCGGATTTATGACAGTAGAAAAAATGGCGAACAGCAAGCACAGAGTAGTCAATTGTTAAATTGTCAACTGCTGTGATACAGGACAGAGTACCTAATGACGAGTCAGTATGAACATCCGTTAAATTTAGCAACCATATCTTGCTACGGTATATACGTTATAACTCCCAAGCTAAATATTCATTATTGCCCGATAAAGTATATACGTCGTTAAACGTAAACAAGTCTTACAGGAAGGACGTTAATCTGATATCTCAAATAATACCTAGGCACGTTACCACGGGATTTGTTCTCGAGCTAAGATCCAATTTGCAATTGCGAATAATTCGTAGAGATGGAAATAAACGAACCCCAAGGATTAACGCGAAGAGCAGTAATAAAAGCACGCACAGTGTATAGCAATAGGAAGACTGTAGCAGTAGCAGCGCTTACTACCCGCAAGGATGCCAACCTGAGTGAAATGAATTGCCGAAGGAAATGTACAGGGTGTTCCAAGATTAAATGCCAACGGGATCATCATTCTTTAATCGCACCATCTTTTAATCAGCCCATAAAATCGTAAAGACGCGTTTTCAAAATTATTTAATGACAATCACTCGGTATAAGTGGAACTTGGGAAAGAGGCGGACGCGCCACTTTAGATAAGATAACACAGGAGGCGTGGTACTTTTGACCCATTACAACCGGGATCGTCTCCTTATCACAATATCGTGAGGTCTAACCTCTTCTCAAAGTGATCCCATGATGGCTCACTGACAAACATATCAATCTACTTTATATGTATTATGTGTGTATACTATACGTTACATGAGTATATCAATGCCGTTACATCAATCTGTCGTATCACGTTTCTCCTTTTTTTTTTTTTTAATACTGTTCATCGAGTATTCATAAATAGGTCCTCTTATCATATAACACATACGATATCGTTGTAAGATATCACTTGAGAATTCTAGACATTTCGTGTGGGAGTCACCGGAGAATGACGTCACAAAGAGAATATGGAATGTGCGCTCGGACCGCAGAAGTTTGTTGTTCACGTTGGAGATAACGATTTTAAAATTTTTGGTTTCTTTGTTCTTCTCGAATTTTCATAATTTGAGCAAGGTCGTTGCGAAAGTATTATTGATTGACGATTCTGGAACGGCTGGGTGGTTACCGATATAAATGATGATTAAAAGATTTAATGAAATACCAGATGACTTTATCGCTGAAAATAATAGTCGGCGTGCCAAGTGTCGAATGTCATCGCGAATGTCATCGCTTGTATACGGACTGGAATGACGTTGGTGATAGAACCTGTTTACCGTATAATGGGGAAGAGTCGGTCGTAAATACAAGGCCCTTTTAAATTTTTTTGGCGATTCGTCAGTTAACGAGATAGCTAGTCGAATGATTATTTTTTTTGTGAATTTATAACATTTTTTTTTTTTTATTAAACTCAATAATTTATTTTCATTCTCATCAAACCCAAAATATCTTTTGCGCTTGGGATGCATACTGTGGGGTTTACTTGTTTTAAAAATGAAAGTCAGGATAAACAGACTGTAGGACACGTGTAACATCGAATATACGTTTTTCGCGGATTCGAATGACGTCAGGTCAACATTGGTACCTACATGACAACGTGGGAGTAGAATAACGATATAAACGAGAATTCGCTAACTGGACTGTTTGGTAGTGGAAGTCGTGGAGAAAATAATTATCGAAAAATAAAATTAGATGATATCAATGCTTTTTGAAAAAATAAAATAATTATAATATATTCAGCCGAATACGCTAAAACAAGATTCGTAAGTCTTAATGGACGAATCGTGTATGCACATACGTCCATTGGTATCTCGTGTGTCCCCGAAATCAGATAATGATCGATGAGCAGATTACTAAATGACGTGAGATCAGCCACCTTTTTCTCCTGTTGTTCGTTATGAAAATCAAAGGAGGAGAATCTGGACATGGACGTCGGAAATAATTATTGGCTCTAGTTACTTTTTCTTTTTGGCAGTGTAATGATGATTAATGACTAGCGCTCGATGACAGTACGTTGATTTCTCCGTGCGTCACTCCGCAAGCGGCTCAATTAATAGCGACGGCGAACGAGATGCCCATATTCTACGCCTATGAGTTATTCTATACTGGATATAGAAGTGGCCCTGGGGTCCAATACACCTGCCGTTACTTATGTACGTATAAGGCCCCAAGAACCACAAATTGACGGTGGCTTCCCTGTATCGATCAACTGTAGTTTCTATAGAAAGTAAGACGCGAAAAGAATTTCAAAAAAATTGCTGAAGGTCGATTTTTCAAATATGAATTTTCAAATGACTTCCTAATTTCCCCAAAATTTACAATCAACTGAATAAATGTTGATAACTAACAAATTTTTTATATCTGTATCACCCGTTTCCGTCGCTAATAAAAATCACAGAAATTGTTAGCAAAAAGCAAAATTCCCATTCACAGTCAAATATCCGTTCATACAAATGACATTCGCAATCTCTTCGACAGTTCCAATTTTTACTGCTAGATAAGAATTGAAAAATAAACGACAGAAAAATCCTTTATCACTCATTTTTAAATTATCTTCCTCGAGACGTAAACATGTTTTTCTATATACTTTCATCCCTCGCCGATTAACTATTACCGATAACCTTTCCCGTTTCAATACTGGTAAGTACTTATGTATTCGTAAGTGCTAAGCGCTGGTCGATCTGTATCTACGTATCTTTACATGACGTTTCAAAAGCCGTAGAACGTCAACCGCGCCTGACGGCGACAACGAAAGATCTGGCGCACGTGGCGTGGAGTGAGAAAAAAAAAAAAAAAAAAAAAAAAAAAAATTAAAAAACTGAGTTCAATAAACCGAAAGGAAATTTTATCCTTCGTTATCGCGACTCCTACCTTCGAATTGATCGGAAAAGATTTATTCGGTCCACAATCAATGCTTGATAAGATCACAAATCAGAGTCTGTGACTACTCGAGATAACCCAGTCCTTTAAACTCCCATTACCTCTTAAATACACATGTGCGATCTCACAAACCTCATCAATTTCGTGTTTAACCATCATGTCGAATGTGTTATGCATAAATTCGTAGTGAACCAAAAAACCTATTACATTATTATTATTTGATAGCTAGTCAATAAATTCATTTAAACTGAGCGAAGAGTGACGTAAAACTCTACTTTTGAGCTATAAATCGGGTTCCACTGATCGAGGTCTCACAGACCTCACCAATTTCATGTTTAGCCATGTCATCCAATTTGCTTCTGCATAAATTTGCAATAAATTTGAAAAACCTATTACATAATTATTATTTGATATCGAATCAATAAATTCACTTAAACTAAAAATAAGTGTAGAACGACGTAAAACTCGAATTTCTAACTATTCTACTCGTCTTAACATCTTGCAATCGAACTCCACAGATCGAGGTCTCGCAGAGCTCCCCTTACGAAGTGTGTTCCTAAAGTCGAACCTGCGTAGTTAACGATTCGAAATGGGTTAAACGACGCGAAACATAATAAAAACGGACAAAACTCACTGTCCCATATTCCCGTCCTTGTGAGAATTACGCCTACGAGAAACTTACCGTGACGTGATTTAGGCTCGATGTCGCAGTATCTCTCCTTGCCGGCAATAATAACGATGATAGGAATTTATTACGCGATAACGGAAGGTCAGAGGTCACCGTTGTGCGACATTGGAGGCACAGGGCTACCAAACGCGTACCTACACAAGACAAGTCTCCTGCGTAATTTACACGTAATAATTAAACTAAACGAGGGGCACTTATTCAAGCTAGTAACAGCTATCCGCATAGTATCCTCAGGACAAATATGTTTCGTGAACATTTGTAGATCATCTATGGTACGTTTGAAGTCTTTTCACGTCTATGACATTTAAAGTTCCATAAACGTCCCACAGACGTCCTACGTGAACATTTCGAAAACATTTACAGTACGTTTGAAGTCATTTTACATCTGAAACACTTAAAGTCCCACAAACGCGTATAGAATATTTCTCTGGTATGTAATATAGAAGAAATTTTACATATGCAAAATATCAAAAAAAAAAAAAAAGTTAAAAAATTCCGAATTGAATATATCAATGAAAAATATTCCCGTAAACATACCACCTGTGTAAGATTATACAGTTGAGAAATTCCATGCAAGTCTTCTCAATGTAAACAGTGTCATGCTCACCTTCCACAGCAGCCATATTATCACCCAGCTTCATCTCGTCATCAGCGTGTTCCTTTCTCTCGCCGTAATCTACGAGGCACACCGCACGGAGATCGCAGCATCCGCATCCAAAGAAGAAAAACGCATCCCCGTCAATATCAAATACGTTCGACTGGTATCGCAAGATTTTGACAACCTTAGCGCACGTGGTCGTCGTTCACAATAATACTGAGCACTGATCACGTCACGATACTGTACACCATACGCGCACGCATCACTAGGATCTGCTGGTTTCACAGACTGTTTGACGTGAGAAAACAGTGGGAGAAAAAGAAAATGTATATACGACGAATAAATAAGGAGCACGTATGGGATTCCTCATGGTAAAACCATAACCAGATGGCACTGTGTATATAGAATTAATCCGATGCATATGACTTAATGTCAATCGTCTAGATATTCACACACGTTACATGCATGTATCTATACGTATGCCGAAAGGTCCATTACGAATCACGAAAGGATCACTGATCAAACGCGTCATAAAAGTTATAATACGCTTTGCATTATCTCTCCGAGTCTAGGGAATTTTCTTTTGCGTCGTTGCCACTCTTGGACGGTTTTTGTCTTCCTCCTACTTCCGCTAAGTATTTGTACTCAAATGTTCACTGGCCACGTGACGAGTTGTTTACGTCTACCCATGATCCACCGCTTGACGGCGTTACGGTGCACGGGCTTCACCCAGTCAATTTCCCTGACCCCTATTCACAGGCTACTAGGGGAATTACAGGGTTAAACCACCTCTTGCACTTCTGCCACGCCTGAACGACGAGGCTCGACTCCTCGACCAGCAGCCGACTCCTCTGTCTCTTAGTCTCAGCAGCTTTCAATTTCTTCTTCTTCCTCTTGGCTTGCCACCTCCTTTTCGCCTTCCACCGGCGCCCTTAATTCAACGCCTCCTCGGCGAAGTATCGTCTCGACTCGCCGCCATCTTCACGTGGGTCTTACCACCACGAATTAACTGCTGGTGGGATTGCTGAAAATTTACCAGGGAATGATGGGAATACCGTCATTGCTACCATTCCCATAATCAGCAGGACGGTTATACCCAGAGGAGAGTAGCGAACCCCTCGACAAGTTACGAAGGGTGGAATTTCCTTTACTTTTTTAGTACTTCTTTTTATCATCATTTTTACCCTCTTTTCGCCCGAAGGTAAAAGAACAAAGGATACAAGTAAACGCATCGTACGAACGAGACCGTGCCTCGTCATACATCTTACGCAATCGTGTTATCGGCAGATACAAAGGATGCCAGTTGAAATTTTTCAAATTCGATTCCGACGATGATTCATGTAAAAAATTTCATCTGCCGCCACTGTTACTCAGAATAAAATAGGACACGGGTAATTCCTGACACGAATTTGACAGTTTGATTTTCAGAGGAGTTTTCACGAACAACAAAAATATCCTGGCAAAGGGAAACAATCTCCACGAGTGTCAGCATTATGCATAACAATGACATTGTTAAACAATCGATCAACAGTTTCTGCAGCATCGAACAATATCTCAGGGATTCTGTACTGTACCAGCAGGAATACAGTATGCTAAAATGCATGCATGACAGCACATATGTAAAGATCTCGATAAATTCATCACGTATCATTGCAATTTGACACTTATCCCCAAAGTACCCCGAAACTTTCTTAACCCATTCGAGACCGATTGAACACCGTGTGTGCAATGAATTTCCGAGGCTATAAGACAGCCTGCACACCGTGTATGCAATAACAGTAATGTGCGATTATCAGTTCCGAGTAAACTAGTCGCCGAAATAAGATTTTTCTGGAACTAATGAAATCTGTAAAGTACAGGAAAACAAAATTTGGCATTGGTTTTACTGTGTACCAAAAAATCTACAAATTATCTAAATCTAAAAAATTTCGCTCCTGGGGACCGTGTTCGAAAAAAATCGTCGTCTCGAATGGGTTAATAGAATTCAAAAATTATTACACGAAGCCCAAATCAAACTCATTCAATTAATTCAGCTATAAAAGTTTTCTAATTGTAAAACCCTCGATGCTCCAACCATTCACGTTATATTATATACTCCACATTCAGATTATCAGTTACCGCGTTCCATGACAATAAAATCGCAAACTCATTTCTCGACGTAAAAAATAATCATGAACCTCGAAAATCTTAAAGGAGCGTACACAATGTACAAAGTACAAAATCATTCAATGAGAGTAATGCCAACAATATACTTCAAAAGCTAAGGGAATCGCGGAAGGTGAATGAAGTTAGGGGAGGAATAGGTGAGATAGGAAAAAAGAAAAAAAAGAATAAAGGGTAAAAAGAGAAAAAAGGCCAAGAGGGCATGGAGAGAATGAGTGAAAAGAGCCAAGGACAAGTCTGCCGAATCGACCGCATCCCAATAACGAGAATACCAAGAGGATATACCCCTGTTACCACTACGTTTACAGCACTACTACTATTGATACTACTGATACTACTACTACTACTGCTACTACCACTATGACTACTACTATTTAGTAAAGGCTTCGTTACTCGAATAGTACTCGAGGGAGAAGCAGAAAGTCTATATACTCAATCTCCTCAAACTCTGCCATCGGCAACGACATAGTCATCCCCATTGTCTATATTTTTTATTTTTTTTTCCTTATCTCTTTACCCCCACTCTCATTCTTAGTTTTACCTAAATAGGCCGGCGCGCACTACCTATAGGAAAGAGCACTCGACCCGGAAGAAAGTGCCAAGAGATTCTCGGCAGTGCCCAACAGGACAGATTCGTGTCGTGTAATTTATACATAAAAAATTTTGTTACTTGACTGTACATAAACATTACATATATACGTATGAATTTGGCGTTGGGCTATATTGAGGACCATAAAGCGATGTGTCACACCAAATTTGTAAACGTTTTTTCTAATCCTAGGCACCCGGTGCTGCGATGGGCCTAGAAAGCATCACGTTAGGTTAGGATTGGATAGAATTTCAATGCTGTGATATCTCGCTCGGTATTGTGAACACCGCTTTATGGTACCCTATCCTCAAATTATAGGAACGGCACATATACACATATATACATATAAACTTGGCTATGGCATACTTTGGAGACGATTTCATTTACGAAGACGCTTATTTGAGGTCATATGGCTGTTTTGGGTTCCGACCTCAAAGTTTTTCCAGCGTAATGACTGTTTTGAGGACCATAAAGCGGACTCTCACAGCGAATTTGTTTATATTTTGTTTATTGTTAGTAAAATTGTTTATATTGTTAGGTTAAGTTAGGTTAAGTTAGGTTAGCTAAGAGTTCCAATGCTGTCACATCCCAAGATATTAGTTTAAAAAAAAAAAAAAAACATTAGCTTGCAGTTTTGACCGCTTAATCTTTTGGGTCCCCAAAATATCCCTTAGCCAAACGTAAATATCCACAAAAATATCGTTAATTGCATATAATTCTTTACTATACATTTTTATCTTAATGCACAACGATAAAATATTTATGTTAACGGAAACTGAAAGTTTCCATTGCAAGTACATATGGCTCGTATACAGATTATGTTGCGTAAGAAGGATCAACGTGTTAGGGCGCATCCATAAGGTAGGAAGTGCGACGCGTTTAACGTTCTGCCTGTCAAAATACGGAAAGCCCGTGTAGGGTGCCATGTTATGCTTTCCTAAATCGATAGAGCCAGCAGAAGGAGACAAAGCGAGAGAGAGAAAGAGAGAGAGAGAGAGAGAGAGAGAGAGAGAGAGAGAGAAGGAGAGACAGAGACAAACGCTGTGCCACGCAGGCTTGAATCCCTCTATACAATTCTGCAGGGTCTTTACCAAGTTCAAATCCTACGGAAGTACGTTATTATTCTAAGCTTCCATTGCGCATATAAGATTACTATCGGATTTCTGATATATCCGTACTTGCGTTCCTTCATTTAAGAATCTTCAGCTGACTGCTACAGAGCAAGAACATGAAAACTAGAAGTGCATAGTCAAATGATTGTGAACGATCCGACTGATTAATCGTAAAATTTAATATAAGTTGATATATCGAGTACGCGTATGCGTATTAAAAAAAAAAAGCTGAACGTCACAGAGAAACGAAGAAGAAAATAAAAGTGTACTGAGCTGTACCAATATCGAGCATCCACCCGGTAATAATTCCAAAGTTATCCAGTTTTTGTCCCCTTTTGTATACACGTACACCATTATAATGCTCTTTTGACTTTTTTTTTTTTCTATAAGGAATCGCGCGGACCGATATTCCAATTCAAAGAAACTTCACACCGGAAACGGAAGCGAGACTCAGGGGGATGATATCTTAGCCATGAATTATGCAAGAACAGGGAGAAATGACGATCGGTTCTAACGCGACGATAAAAATAGGCATAAAAATGAATGTAATCGAATATGAAAGGAGATGATAGAAAATTTGCAACGTTCCTCCAGTAGCATAAATAAATCAAGTAAAAGCCCTCTCTCGGTTGCCTATTCAATTCGTTAACAGTGGGAAGAGTTTAGGCGACATAAAAGCCGTAAAATTGTGAAGAATTATATGGCGAAGCTACACGTTAAAAATTCAAATGAAAATTCCTTATCGTAGATCCGGCCGGATATTTCTTTCTATTATATGTATATTAAACTAGATTAAGGCGGTTGGTTCGCGACTATACGCGATATCCATTTGTGTCGATGTTATTATCCTCGTTTTTACGTATATATATGACGTAAGGTATATATAGATATACACAATATAATCGGACAGTATATTAGTAGTTCCTATGCTATATTGTGTCTAATGGGAATATTTGACGTAGTATAGTGTGCGGATGTGGAACGATCGAACCAAGTTCAATTATCAATGAATGACGTCAGACCAATTTGTCGTTATAGACGTGTCAACCAGCTGCCACGTATGCTGACCTGATCATGGACGGCTATTTATTGTCACGTCAATGCGCTTGCTATATGACCTTTGAACCTACGATTATTAAATAAGAGGATGAGTACCTAAGTGCACTTGATAATGGGATCTGCAGAGAGTAAGAGTTTCTATGCAGCGAAAGGGGTGCCTTGCGAATGGCTCGTAGGCCCGACTTCTTTGACGGAGCTCGGTAGGAAAAAATTCTGAAGATCAACGGATTTAATTGGCTAATCGCGCAATTAAACTCAATTTAAACAACAAACCGTGTTGGGATAATCGAGCTTTAATCATGCAAAATAAAAATTCTGAATTTGTACAATTTATTCACAAAGTTTACAGGATAACCGTGGATTCTGCAATTTGATACAATTAGGAAACAATTTTCTTTCCACTTGAATTCATCAGAGTACAAAAGGGATCACTCGAAGCCAAGAATTGAGAGCGTCCATCGATCTTTATTTTGCTGTTCAAATCCAATTTTGGCAGACACGTGTGTCAACTCGTTAATCCGATTGGCTGCCTTGAACGTGTTTCACGGAATCAAAATCGTGGCAAGGTCGAATTTGTAATTTTCTGTAGTTGAATTTGAGAAGAGCGATATCTTTCGCTCTCTTAATCTCGTTTTACGTCTCTCTCTCTTTCTTTTTCGGAATCTGGGACGAATGAAAATATTTATAAGACTCGACAATCGTATATTCTAGCGAAAAGATGCTTATGTTAAAATAGATCCCGCCTGAAAATCAGGTTAAAGCAATAATACAGTGATAGTTCAAAATACGTAAAATAAGTAACGTTACTGTCGACAGTGCTTCGCTTCATCACACGATTATTTCACGATCTGTTATACTTATTCATATACAGGGCGTTCCGAAATTACCTGACCAACGGGGTATGGCGGTGTTCGGGAGGCACCACTGATCACGAAAATGTCCTTCTTTTTCTCCGGAAGGTCATAGTTTTTAAATGGGAGCAGACCAAAGTTGACCAATCAAAGCAAGGCGTCAAGAGAAACGTAGGCACCTACGAACTCTGAGTTTTCTTCTCTCGCTTTTGTTTCTCGGTGGCTTCGTGCAGGATGACGTCAGCTGAAGACATGCCTATTGTAAACAAGAAACAAGAAACAAGCCACCGAGAAACAAAAGCGAGGGACGAAAACTCAGAGTTCGTAGGTGCCTACGTTTCTCTTGACGCCTTGCTTTGATTGGTCAACTTTGGTCTGCTCCCATTTAAAAACTATGACCTTCCGGAGAAAAGGAAGGTCATTTTCGTGATCAGTGGTATCTTCCGAACACCGCCATATCCCGTTGGTCAGGTAATTTCAGAACACCCTGTATACAATACAACACAATCTTATGTCGAAGCGTGTAACAGGCTTTAAGGTGACGCAGCGAGAATCCGAGCGGCAAATCAACGCTGCTTAAAAATAAAAGAGTCATGAAGATAAAAAGAGAAATAAATGAAATAAAAAAGGAGTACATACTGATACTCTTCGCGTGCTTCAAAGAGAAAAAGAGAATGAAAGTTATAGGGTAAACTGATAACTTTAAGAAGAGAAAGAGGCTTGTGTAAGAAACTGTAATAAGATTGAAAATAGGAGCATATGCAGTGCCTGACTGGTAAGCTAATGTATCACGTAGGTGTGTAAGGGTGTATATAAAGAGACAAGGATGCACGAGAACATTATTTGCCTATTGCAGGAATTGATCGTGTGCAAAATAAACGGCAGATCACTGCTGTTAATCGTTTACTTACACAAAATAAATCGAGGACTCCGATTTTCATAACAACTGCATAGTGCCCATTGTCGGCCGGTTGACAATTTGATACTCATGTGTCACGCGAGATGATAATGGGATCCACGCTAGGCCATAGGAACAAAGACAGGTAGTGACAATTTTACATGAAAACGTTCAGATCGCAGGTCACGATGCCACAGATCGTTTTTGTGAACGTTGCCGCAGTCGCTTTGCCGCCTCTCGGGGACAAGTCGTGCGTGTAGCGTGGACGAACGCGTCGCGACGCAGCTGTTACGGCGCGACTCGGCCAAATGAAAACGTGACGTACACGTGTCAGGGCTTCTAAAGGACCTGCAATCTATTTTGCCTTTATTCTTACTATTACTATTATACCGCGGCACTTGGCTTCCGCGATCATTCGGCATCTTTCCTCTCGCATCGTGCTCGAGATTCGAGCGTTCAACTTCGTGTCGTTCGGTCGACTGAATTCCTTATTCATGCTTGGTCAATTTAATTCTCCACCATCCCCAAGCGCGGCGCCACTGTACCGTCGTCTCTGATTGGCCCATCCATTTTCCACCGCTAGACTTTGTTGTTCGGCATTTTTATACTGGCTTTCCCCTACTCCCGCTCTATGATTCCTTCTCTTATTTTCTTCTCATTTCTCTCATGCTCTCTTTCTCTCTCTTTCGCTATCCTTATACACGACTCTCATCCCCACTCTCTTCCTTATTGCGATCCCGCGCGTGTCACCAGCTCTGTTACTCTCACTTGGTGATCGACCGACATACGAGTCACGTCTTTCCTCTATAGTATCTAACATATAACGCTATTTCTTCTCAACTGTTAGTCTCAAGAGGGCCGCTGATCCTTTCTAAGGACATTCGGAAACCACCTAGTGCTTATATGTGTAAGTCTATTCATAAATGCCTCCACCCTTGTAACTTAAAGAGGCCCGTGAGCATCCCGGAGCCCGGCCGGGACTCGACTGTTTCTAGTCTGGCAGCCCCACTGAGCCCCACCAGGGGTACCGTCACCCCACTCTTTCCAAACCAGCCGTCTTGAAACCCTGCTTGACTTGGCTTGTCTGATTATGACGCGCACAAGCCGCCCACGCGTATTATTTGGTCTTACCTTTGCCTTATTGCTGTAGTATTAAGCACGTTTTTACTTACCATTGTCAATATATCAAATATTATACATAGTTGTCTCTCTCCTCAACGTCTTTTACTCGCTGTCGATTTCTTTCTTTACGACTTTTCTAATTACTATAATGTAATTGTAATTGTTATACGACGAGGAGCCATACTGTTCGCGTAGTCTGGAGTTGCACGCGAGGCCATCTTACGCGGAATAGACTGTAATTAGCCAAGGGGAGTATAGTACGGTCGATTATCCATTACTTCTAGACTGCAATACACGCCACATGTTACGTTACACGCAGCTTAGCATAGACTTGTACTCTCTTAGTGAACTGCATTATTTACGCTTAATCGCTTATTCGATACATTCTTTTGCTTTTGAATCTTCAAGTCTACATCTGTTGCAGTTTTCCCATGGATATTCGTCTTGAGCTTTACTAGCTGATTGGATATAGCTGTATGTACACTTATCAATATACTAACTAGCTTGATAAAGATTGTTTGATTTCAATATACATATAGGTCTTAACAGCGAACTATAAGAGAAAGCGTCTTGTATTTCGATTCAGATCGAATCCGGATTGCTTTGTAATGATTATTACCCGTTATCTAATGTCATTAATCATTACAATCTTAAGTAAGGACTGGTCGTTAATGAGGGCCTGTATATGTATTCTGTGAAGTAAACTTTTTTTCGATTTATATCATTTTCAATCGTTTTCAATCGTTAGGCTCTTTTATATAGTCTCTAATTTCGCTGCTATAGTCAATTCCAGGTCCTGTTATTCTCTTCGAGTGGAATCTTGAATTCCAGCAACGTTCTCCATGGTCGATGCAATTCTTGCCTGGAACGAACGATCGCCAGTTGGAATGACCTCCTTTATTCAAATTTTATGCATTCCCGATATTCTGAAAATTCTTTTATTCGGAATATATTACAACCCTCTTAAATATATGATTCTTCTCTGAATTTTTATGCATTTTATTTCGATTATTATTCATTGACATACGACTCCTTTATTCTTATTGACCAATTAGTATAAACAAAGACGATCACCTCGCGAAGAGGCGTGGGTGTCGAGTGCTACTAATTAAGATAATGAAAATGAAAACTCCAAAAATGGAGAATTACCTCGATTTCGAAAAAAAGCTTTTCAATTTTACAATCTTACTATTTTTCTCTTCGAATAACAGCCAAGGAAATGTTTTGTCTGCAAGTGACGTTACTTACGTAACAGGGGAAAGATGAAGTTACGTTAAGACTTGGAATATATTATATAGCGTTTTTATTGAAATAATATAAAAATATCAATTTGTTACAGAAAATGTTTGTCTTTTTTCACCACTGATGAAAAAACTTGCAGAACATTCCGGAACTGTCTCGAAGAGCTTTTCGTATCTTGTACGCGCAGTATACATATGTCTACGTTGTTTCAGCCCTTGATACCCGTTACATTAGTCGAGCGTTCAAGAAGATGGAAATGCATACCAAGAGGAAAATTTCTCAACTTTCTTTCCTTTCTTTGTTTCCTTTGAAATGGTATTCTATTTTAGTTAGAGGCAGGACGATATATACTCACACCGTTGAAAACATAATATATACAGTGTGAAAACTTTAATACAGAGTCTAAGGAAAAGATATAACTTAATTCGTAGATACTATACCATAAATCTAGATTCCTGCAAAAGTTTCTTAAGATAAACTCTTAGTCCTCTTGAAGTAATTTATTGGCACAGACACGCAAGTACCGAGAATACGAAGCATTCTCGACATTTTTCCTCGAACAATGACGTGCTGCGCAGTGTTTATTGTAAGTGGATTAAGTGAGACCCAAAGTTCAACAGGTCAAGTAGAGATCGACGTTATCAGTACCACGGGAACAATGGTGACAAAGGATATTATCAATAGAAAAGAAACAAGGATCGCGTGAGTATGCATTACGTGTGAAAAGGTAAGAAAAATAAATTTACGTTGAACGTAAGTAAAGTAGCACGGAGCAAAGTTCACTCATCTTATCGGCAATAGTGCATCGTAGAGTACAAAGTTAAAATAATATTTTAAAAATGCATTAAAAATGAATCGACTTGAAATCATAAAAATAAAACGATTGGGTGTAAGAAAATTCTGTAAAAAAAAATTGTTCTAAAGTTGAAAAAAAAAAAATTGTTACGCTCTATCGATAAGTGGCTCCCGAAACGATATCAAGGCATTAAAAAAAACGTTATTACCTCACGACGATTCCAGCGCCATCTTATTTGTTTTGATAAAATTGTTTGGCATTTTTAAAAATATTAAAAATTTTCCGACAAAAATTTTGCTTTTAGCTTATACCTCCTTTGGGAATGATCGGACGCAGTCGTAATATTCCACGTCGTTATTCTTCATGCTCGAAGATATAAGAAAGCGTCTCGACGACTTCCGATGTTTTTCAGGACTGAAACGTCGTTTGATCTTTCGAGGAAAAAAATAACAATGAATAGGAATATCATATTATTTGCATAAAAGAATAAACCAATATGATATGTCCTTGCGAATAAAATCAATATAAATCATTGGTCGTTGTCTTTCGTTTTTATGATGCTATTTCCTATTACGATTTCAGGGACCCCATCTAGCCTGTGCTAAACTAAATAAATGTATTTATATTTTACACCCTGAATGGGGAATGGTAGATAATAGTGGGCTTATGCTTTTGCCACCATTTAACAAACAGACATAACGTTTCCAGTGCAAACCATCCCTTTGGAGTTATGAGGCTGGCGAATAATGTACCATAGGTTATCCAGGCACAGACGTATTTGAAATAGCACGCGGAAAATAAATCATCAGGATTTACTTTAATCTTTATTTTTCCACTCGCGTATGAATTACACAATATTCAGCCACGTTCAGGCGTGCCTTACGTATACCAGTAAGTAGTATAACTTTTAAATGTACTTTCAAAAAATACTCTGACAGTTCCAAGAAATTCGCTTAGCATCACACTTTTTTTACTTTCACAAAAAATATATTTGATCAGTATATTTTATTTAAATAAATAAAAAAAATGTACAATAAATTTGAATCCACATAATTTTCCAAAAAATTTGTATACAAAAACTAATGTTTCACTAAGACGGAACAAAAGGCGATCGCAATGTATTAACAAAATAATAATGACGACACTGACTATACATTTTCATGTGATTGAGATAGATAATTAATTTTTTTTTTATTTTTTGTAAGGAGTAGGATAATCTGTAAGGAGACTTCCGGTGGAGACCAGTGCGCCGGGTCCACCAAGAATTCCCCCCTTATTAGCAAACCACCCGTTACCACCAAGAAAACCAGCAGCGTCCAGACGGTCAGTGTAAAATCCAGGTTCGCTCAAGCCAACGAGATTTAACAAACCGGAAGTTGCTGCCAACTGTTTTGCATTCTGTGGATTGACAGCTGCCAAGTTCTTAAAAATTTCTTTAATTTGCCCCAGCCTGTCTTGCAAGAAGGCTTGCGGAGAGAATTGGATTTTTTGAAGCAGTGGCGTCAGGAACCAGGACGCAGGCGGTTGAGGTATCCGCGTTGTGGTTTCGACCAGTTCAATGTTATCCTGATTAACATTATCAGATTTCTGAGTTTCCACGTCCTTTGGCACTGTTATTAAATCGCTACCAGCCGCTATGGAATCTTTTGGATCATCCGGAGAATTTTTGTAGTCACTTTGGCTTCCATTCTCTATTTCATTTTCGGTTTCGTCTATCGATCTATCGATTGGCTTCGATTGTACGATCGTAACCTTAAAAAGTTAAGCATGCACTGTTTTATGTAAATTTTAAAAAATTCATTTTCATCCATAACCTCTGTATATAATTATTAGTGTATTTTGGTGACGCTGCACTTACCAGTAGTAGCACGAATAGAGCGCTTGATTTCATTTTACACTTTAATACAATTGTCACGACGAACCTCACAATTTTTAAGGCGCTTCTAAATCGGCCGATCGCCAACGACAGCGAATATATAGGATTTCTCGAGCATAATCGCATAAGGGTACCCACATGGCTATCCATAATATTCATATCTTTTCAAATAGACGCATTCCCATTAAGCCACCCAAGTCGCTACTGATTATTGCTAAACGTACATTGGCTCACCAGGAAACAAGAAGAAATTACAAAACACGGTTACCCTTACCATAAATGATCTGTTACAAAAAAAAAAAAAAAGAAAGAAAATGAAAAACACGAAAACCATTTTCGTCAATATTTATCGCAATATCATATAAATTATCAATTGTCTTTCTCTCAATTATATTAAAATACCATTTTACCTCTTTTTCCTTTTCTATACCTAACATATACATATTTGAAACACTGAAAAAAAAACAATTTATCGAATCTTCATGAACCTAATTTTCTTCATTTATAAGCGTACCTAAAATACAATCATCCGTGTAAGAAAATTCCACGAGTAATATTGAATGAGGTATACGCAAAATTCCAGAATTCACTTAAAAACCGGTCGGCATATTTTTGATTAAGTTTATATATATAATAATATACAAAGGGGAGTTGTCGGCCGTTAATAAGCATCGGCTTACCAACTCGCCTTGAAGTTTTAAAACACTCAGGAATATATCCAGTCTCTTGCAGCTAAGTTCAGATCCCTTTTTGTCTCAAGGATAAGTGTCCAAGTAGAGATATCCAAGATTTGACTAATAAGCAAATTAAAGGTTTAAAATTCAGCCCTCAATTATACTCGATTAGGAATAGTAATAATAATTCCCATAATTCCTCATTAATAAATAATTAAATTACATCCGATGCCAAGTTCACGTCAGTTCCAAGAATTCAAAATGCATGACGTTCATTTCAATCATAATCACCTCATAGTCGCGAGACGTACACGCAATGTTTCTTACATGCATATATTTTCATACATATCTTATACGCATATTATTTCTTGACGTCACCATTTTTTATCAATCACTCATTCGATTAATCGTAATACCTATCGACCGATCGACTCTCGTGCCGTGTTTGACGCACGTGTGAAATTTTCTTGGAACGAGCGTGGAATACGAAATTTTTTGTAACATTCTTTAAGACCCAGATTGCATACACTTAATTCGTGCACTGTTCTACTATACGTACATTGATACCTGTACAGGTCGTTTCACACGTGACGATTCTTTCCTAATTTTGTAATCTATACGCATATGTACCTTCGTTTGAAAAAATATATGGTTTTTTTTTTATAATTTGGAATTTTTAAAAAATTACTTTTGTCTATCAATCAATACTTAATATATATATTATTAATTATATTGGACAACATATTTGTAATATTTTATTTTATCTGTATGCATGCCGAACGCAGTGTCTGTACGTTGGCATCATAAATGCGTGTAGGTATACGTGGAGGACATCTACGAGAGGGTCTTTCATATATACATATATATAGGTGTGCGATGCGAGGACGACCTGAAACCGTTATAAACTTTTCAAGACCAGTCTCGATCCACCAGCCGTTGGACAAAGCTTGAAACAGAAGATGTTCCAGTGCAAATACAGAAAGAGAATATGAAATTATCATAGAATATCATATTTGGATATTTGCAGACTTTAAATATATACAACATACATATATCTGTTTGTACAAAAAAAGAAAAAAGGAAATTAGTGAATTTGAAAAAATATATATTAAAAAATGTATACACACGGAATTTTCTTTGCTATATTATTACTCACAGGGGTAAGTTTGACTTTACTTAATTTTCATCAATCGATCTAAATACGACAGCTGATTAGATCGTAGCGGCGTATCTGTTGCCTGACTAATTAAATCTGTATTAATTAACTTTTCATGAATATGATAATCAGTGCTTGTCTTACTAATTACGTAAATGCGACTAGTATGCTAATAAATTAATAGAATTTATATACGTCCTTAAGGAATCTCTTGCGTTAATCATCCAAACGGATTGATCGAATGACGAAGGACCGTGCGACGGGATAATCGTGATATGAAAAAGTATAACAATAATATACACGTGCATCATTATCCAATTGACGTCACAATACTAGTTCATATTGCATAGTTTTGTGAGTTGGCAAATATAATACCATTTTCATATACAATTCACATGCAACGTATACGTGGATCCGTGATATATAAAAAAATACATATTAAAATATAACAGTCGCGTTAGCTTGGATTTATACCCATGGGTTATTATTCCTTGGTTTAGTTAGGAATTTACATTTCTGATTTCCCCAAAGGATACAAATACGTAGAACTGGAACACATAACATTTCACTTGTAAAATGCATTAAACTTTTTTACTAGTAGGACTACATACATGTATGAACTCTCTCTCTCTCTATATATATATATATTCGTATTCTATAGAGTATATATTTGGTATAGATATATCTGCGTATGTCAGCTAATCGATTCGGTTCCATCATTCAAGGTGAGTCCTCCTTTATATCCGCGCCACAAATATCTGATTCGAATTCAGTAGTGTGGGCACCCAGTTACATACATATATATATAAACTAGAATGCTACTAAGAGATACTTGGTGAGGATATTAAAAAAAGGAAAGTAAAATGGAATGTTAAATACAAAAAAGCAGTACTGAAATACTTTGTATTCGTGTATAGTGGTTATGGCGTTAATGAGGTTGAATATTAATTAGTTTAGGAACGTTCGTTCAGTCCTTGTCAAACTTAGATAGGAAGAGGAGTGTCAAAGTAGAGCGACACAGAACAAGATTTATGAAGCGATAAGTCATATACACTGTGTCATTTATATTAAAAAATTTACGAAATAAATAGTTTACTTAGAGGCGATTTTCTAATTGATTTTGTAATAAATTCGTGAATTAATTTTTTATAGTAACGCGACACTTGTTCCAGGTCAGAGCCAGTGTCGTGAGGAAACCACCGGCATTTACCAAACCTGTATTTTCGGACTCTTATCTTCCAGCCTCGATGCAGGTAGAGTATAGCTGTTTCAAGTAGTTAAATAATTATTAAAATTTTTGTTATTATTTTCTTCTTCCGCAGGTTATATTTCATACTGTTGAGCAACTGAAGAGACTTCAGATAGAGGAGACGCAGGGAAGCAATTCTTCAATTCCGACTACCAGTCCTCATCCGCCAGGTCAACATCAGCCATTGTCGACGACAATGGAGACGATGATCGAGTCGTCGACTATCATGACGATGACTATGACAACGAATTCAATGCCTTTGTCTTCAATGGTTGAGACGAGTATCAGTCACGTGGAGATACCGGAAGTAAATGAAGAGAATGTCGAAATGAATTACGCTACTCCTGAAGTGAACCAAGAAGTGGCTGAAGTCCCTCATGGAACCACTGAGTCAAATTATGAACAGCCGGAGGTTGATCGGCAGACCGGAAACGAAAGTAGCGCCACCACAGTGGAGAATGACAAGAAGAAGAAACCCAGTATCCAAAGCGTCGTGGAAGAGATCTACGGTATAGTAAATCCCTCTGCTTCTCTGATCTCTGAAGAGGGTAATCAAGAATCGATTCAGTCAAAACATTCAAGTCCTACAAAATCCGTTGAGGAAATTGAAAGTCTCGAAGAAGAGGATGACGAGACAAGGTATACTAATACGGTACTTGAATATGAGTGTTTAAGGGAAATGTATTAGAGTAAAAAAAATATATAATTTCCGGTTACAGATTTACCTTGCTGGGTGAAAAAGTCGTGCAAGTACCAAGACCCAGCTTAGCTGGTTACTTGAGACGGGCCAAAATTCCACCCAGGGCGTCACTTCAGCAACTGGCGACGCTGTACGACGCGTTGAGTAAAGACGCCAGAAAGCAGGGTTTTGCTAAATTTTCAGGATACTCAAACGACGTTCTTGAGACTCTGGTATCTTCTGCAGGTGGTGGGGTCGGTCCTCAGTTAAAAACTTTGCTGGAAAAAACAGTCACAAAGAATGAGTTGACTAGGGAAGATTCCAAAGCGAGGACTAACCTTGTACTTAAGGAGTTGGAAGATTCTGGTAGTGTCCTTTCCACGGACCTGAGACGTCTTGTACCGCTACGTTTTATTCCTTGAGAAAAAATGCGACTCGGACACTATACTCCAAAAATTTTAAGACTGCTTTCATATTATAACATGTATGGATGAACTGCCATAATGCAAAAAAAAAAGTACGTTCATTTTTTAAATAAAAAATAGTTTCATTAACTTAATTTTTCTTTGATTATATAATATTCCGCAGTCCTACTTACCATAACAATTCATTGTATTTAAACTGGCTAACAGCCCGTGCACGTCAGTTAATTAAACCTGAACGTAGCACGCGATTTGATGCGATCCGCCATTTGATCACATGCGACTGACACACCAGTAGAATAATAATTGTCCTGATTACTGCAACTGCCGATTATATTGTCAAAGACGAAGCAACATCGTTCTGCGTACTTAAAAAATATTCCTCGAATTGCAGGCTTAACTTTTTTACCTTTGTATAGCGTATAGCGAATGATCATTGTCCAGGCGGCACCCTTTGTGAATGACTAAGGTACTCTGGGTTTTTTTTTTCGTTCTGAAAAATCAGGATATTAGTCATGAGCTCTGTACGTGTTTAATACATATCGATAAAACAATTCACGGGGCGAGACTGTGTAAATAATATAATTTTATATCGAAGAAGAATTCAATTTACTGTGGTTGTATCCGATACACAGGATTTCTGACTGCACAGTTATAATATTTGAGTAACATTCTATTGGCAATTTTTTTGAAGGTCTCTGACCCATTATGAAATACAGGGACGAAGATTAATATTGTTTATAGGTGGAGTGAAGTGTGTTGGCAAGTCGGCAAGTCGTCAAGTACGTGCAAAGCATTTAAAATACATTAGGCAATTCGCAGGGAGTGATTTGGTCGGTTACAATGGCGCAGGAGGGAAATTTCAATTGCATACAATAGGGTTTCTATGACAATGCTTTAATTCAGCAATGTCTACGTCGCTGAAGTACACATTGGTATAAATCGGTTTTGAAATTGAAGGAGCCTTCAGTTGTATGTACAAACTATCGAGAGGAAATTCGTACAAGATCAGTAGTCACTTCGACAATTCATATAGTGAATTTTACAGTGAATTTGCGTGTCGCATTTGTTAAAAATACCATTAAACATGAAAGGATACATTGGATATTTGGTTCTTTGCGTAAGTATTCCTTTTTTTCTCTGGTACCATTTATCACTCGATTAAGTATACGTATCAGTCACACGTGATATTTAAAATATATAGAAACTTACATTTTGTTTCGAATCTTATTAGATTTTCCTGGCGAAAGTGCAATGTAAGCCGCAGATCACGAAACTATTTCCCGTTAAGGAGTTGGCAGCGTTTCACGAAAGAACGAATGAAGTGAATCCTCTGGATAAATTACTTGGAAAATTACGTGCAACCTACAACTTCGTTTTTCATAAACCGGAAGATACAAGTAACGTAGAAAAGATTCTGTCCAGGGATCCATCAGATCCAGACGTGGAAGCCTTGAAGAAGATATGGGCGAACGTGGCGCCGACTGTGGCAAATAGTAGTACTAAGAATAAAAATGCAGACGATAGATCGTATGATGTATCTGAAGAATCTAAGAAAAATTCACTGTCAACCGACGAAAAAGCTTCCGCTGTTGAAACCAGCACTTCTACCGCTTCTAAGGACGATTGGCTCGATGATATAGAAGCGCCAAAACAACTGGATCAATTAGAGTTGACAGCAGACTCTGACGATGACAGTTCTGTAGAATCTGTCACTCCACATTCAACACTGCATATTCCTGTGACGGTCGGTCGCCATCTTCTTGAATGGCTTGGCTCACTTTTGGGACTTACCTATGGGGCCTATGCGAAATTGGCTTTGGCCATTAAAAATACATGAGTCTCCTTCTACAAAATAAAAGTATTACAATGTAATAGTGTTTCTTTAAATTTAATTAACTTTGAATCGAAATATTCTATAAATTGTATAGCAACGGTATACGTATTCTGTAGAATTGTATGAATAATATGTAATTTGATGTAAATGAGGAAGACAAATAATACAAGTATAAAAAGATTGACTTTGACTACGTTTATTTTATTCAAAAATATTTCCGTCTGAAAAATACATGAGTCATTTTTCATCTTCATCTTTTGGCAATTAGTATATCATACATGTAACAATGGCTTGTTGAGTAATCGGTACCGTTTCGTGAAATGCAAAAAATGCTCATTCGCAAAACTCACTTAATCTAATCAATCGCTTAAAAAAAGACAAGGTGGTACAAATATCTTGTTTATAAAAATATAAAATGATTAATGGCGTTAAAGGACAATCGCCGATTGAGTAAGTGAATTATAATTGATCAAACGATTAAAATACTGAGATTTACATACAAGTAAAGTCTTTGGTTCTATTATCATTCGGTATGACTTGGGACCTAGACTAAAAAAATTAAATAGGTAGATCCTTTGTCATATATCTATTTACAAAATTTCAACGGACAATTCGACGTCGTTTACGACTTCCGGCAGTTTTATCGTCCACGTTACTCGTACAAAAGTCTTTGTATAATGGCGCGTGCAAATGAAAGCTTAATCGAATCATAAAAAAACTTGTAATGGCCAAACCCTATGCATACAGACTATTTGGTTTGACTTATTAACACTAAACATACCGACCATTTTTGATAAATGTATTATTGGCTTTAAAAGGGTCAAATGACCCGTCGATGGTACTTTTAGTGTTAAATTCTGTCAGAATATTCAATCATGCGTTCTTATTCATCTATTGGCATAAGTACTTGGCATTTTATCAGTGGAGTAGTGCCGAGTTTTATTAAGAATCAGAAAGAGAGAATCATTATTGAGAAAATATTGTCTGTGTTATGTAGTGTTGAAATTTCCAGGGAAAAACTGACAATAAAAGTCTTACAAAAACAAAGACATGAAATTAATTCGATGCATAATCGAAATAAAAATGGTTCGTTGATAACAAAACAAAAAAGAAAAGAGTAAAGAAACGTCTGCACTAGTGAGCATCATGGTAATATCGTAAGCAATGGAGTATTTCGTATAATTATTTGGTAAAAATATTCAAATTTAATATCATTATGGAAGAGACTATCAGATGCAACATGATAAAGTCATGGTTAATCACAATGAAAATGTTACTCGCTTTGCAATCAATGTAATGCAAATATTAGCATTGTGACTGTAGACTAGATTCATTCGAAAACTATTTCATTTAAAGCTAGTCTTATGATCTTATAATATAGTAATTTGTGGCCAAGGAGCAGTCATTGACTGATACGAGTCAAGATAATTCTTATTGTATAGCGAGATTGTAAATATGCTTTAAGCGTATTTAGGCTCTTTGATTCGTTTATCACACGGGTACCTGTGCGACTGTTTCCTGTTTTTACTAATGCCAGAATACGCTTGGAGCAGCTTTACGAAAACGTCCATTGTTCGCTGTTACCCGGGGAAGCCGGGAATTCCCGAATATGCAGGAATACTTGACGTAGAAGACAAAATAATAATACATCCCTCAAGAAACACCGCGAACTTGTCATGTCGCGAATTTTGCTAAGGCATCGTTCACGGTGCGTTTGCACTATTTAAGGCTGGCAGCCATTTTTCTAATCCTCATACTAGCAATATTCATTGCTTCATTTGGAAGAATTCGCTTCTACATCGATTTTCCTAATCTCTAATTATTCTACACCTCTGTTTTCTTGGCCATGTAAACTGCTTCTTTTGGTACTGCGGCAGTTTATTTTATTTTCAAAGTATTAGAAATCTAGACCGTCTCTTGCGCCTTGGCATATAAATGCGTGTTTTTCAAGAGTGACCATAAAGCAGTTTTGAGATAGAGGCAGGATTATGTATTTTCATTTTAATGAAAATATGAAAATTTAATAGATTAGCAAATCTATGCATTTAATGTTGTTTACACCTGTCAACTGTTAGCTTCATCGAAAGTAAAAATACATGATCGAACCCCAGGATAAAAGTAAACGAAAAGAAAGAAATATCCGAATATTTTGGATAAATACAAATATTCGCACGAGTATCATCAATCACTGTCAGATTATTGCTTTGGAAACTTGCGTGAAAAATCTAATTTAAAACTAAGATGGCATTAAATATCTTGTATTCTGTGGCAGAATTTCGTTCATGTTAACTGCTTGTTGTTGTAGCATTACGCCCTCTCTAAGAGCTTGTTCTTTGAATGCTGAGAATGTCTGAAGTAGATTCGGATCCTTCTGAAGGCTTTGGATATGCTGTAGAAAACTGTATTCCTGCTTAACGAAGTTACCATCCTTTGTAATGAAGTTCATCTCCTGTTTGATACCTGGGGATGCCGTATCTATACTCTTCTCCAGAATGTCTTTGTTCTCTCCAAAGACGTTGTCTTTCTTGGCTTTACTTTTACGAATACCCAAATGTGTTTGGGTATGTTTGTTTAAATGATCCTTACGCGAAAATGCCTTTTGGCAAACACTGCACGAGAAATTTTTATCTCCAGAATGAATCACATAATGTCTTGTTAAATGTTCATTACGTTTAAATGCTTTTTGACACACGGGACATTTGAATGGTCGTTCGTCCGAATGACCACGCATATGTTGATCCAAATGTTCTTTTCTTTTTAGCATAGCGCCACACTCTTTGCATTGATATTTCCTTTCCTGAAAATAAAAAACGTATGTTTTTAATCTTTTAGAGAAAATATATCAGAAATTTGTATCGGTATCAACTATTGTAGTTGTAATTTACCTGTATATGTCCCTGGATATGTTGTTCGATGTCAGATTTCTCAGCAAACGCTAGGTTACACTCAGGACAACAGTATAGAGTAGAACCATCTAAGGCAACTGTAATTTTAATCTCACCAGTTTTCGCCCTGAATTTCATTTTTCGTTCTGTTTTCGGGGAATCCGTTTGTATTTGCTGTTCAACTTTGATAGGATGTACTTGTGTATTATTGTCTATAGGATTATCTTGCTGGCTTTCAATATGCAGATTCATTTCATTGGGATTTATTCCCATTATCATGTGTTCCGCACTCATGAAATGATTTCCATTTTGTTGTACCTGAGTCGTTCTAAGGACCGGTACAGTAGGGATGTTTAGTATACTTTGCGCTTGTTCAACTTTCTGCTCTTCATCCTTTTCTTTTTTTATTTGAGTTTGATCAGACTGTATTTTAATCAACTGTTGCAGTGTTAGAGGAAGTGATGTTGCTTGTAATTTTTGAAAATATTCAGCCATTGATACACTTTGTTGCTGAAATTGAATTTGAGAGTCCTGTTGTATTTTAATGATTATTTATTATTAATTTCATACAATTTTTAAATTTCAAATGACTAGTACGTTACACAGCATCCCTTACCGCATTAGAGTTTCCAGCATCAGCTTCATTATTAACTTCAGATTCATGTTTGACAGCATTCATTTCAGTTTGTGATGTCGTTGGCAAGTACATATTGGGTATAATTCTTACGGGTAATGTATTTGGCTGCATACTGAGCAAAGTTGCACTGTTCTGACTATAATTTGGAATGTTTATAGCTTGAATACCCTGTTTTTCACAGAGTTGCATTAAGGTATTTGCATCGGGCCATGCTAATATTGTTCCAGGATATTTACTAGATGGATTAACCTGTACAAAGAACATTCTATTTTATAAACTAAAGTAAATTTTTGTTTCAACGTACTGCATAATCTTAAATTAACTGCAATATGCTTTACATCTCAAAATATTCCTTGTTTATGGATTTAGAAATGAAGTAACAAAATATCTTACCAGAATCTGTTGCTTTGATTGATTCGAGCCTGGTGCAGTGGTATAAATTGCAGTTTGTAAAGCATCCAATTGCGTTGCACTACTACTTGTGAATCCAGCATTTGACACGGAATTTGATCGTGAAGTAATTTCCGAAAATTGGGGAAGACCGCCCTGAATGGGATTATCATTGGCAAAGTTCATTTTCCGTAGGGAATCTCAAATATAAAAGGAAGTCTGCACGCTTGCAAGTATCAGCGTTTATAACCTTAATCGAACGCTACTATATGTACTATAAAACACTCCCGTTAATGTCACAATGTCCAAATCGCAATTACGCCTATCATATTCACATTTTTACACGTTAGCTTAGGAGAACCGTGTGCAAAACATGCACCGGGATAAAATATGGACAATTTAATTAAATTAAAATCACTCTAACCGTCGGGGCATCGTAACGTACGCCAAGCTTTGAGCGTCTTTCCAACATGGCCGCGATAAAGTACTGTTAAGGTACTCAACACATTCAACATAACAGCTGCATTTTTTACAGGGTAATAAAACAGCAATTGTGTTTAAACGTTTAATTATTTTGAATCAATTATGGTAATAAGTCAATTTGCTTAACGCGTACGAAGGCAATCAAAGGTATATGAAGGTGTACAATAAAATAATATAGAAAAATGTGATAAGTGTATTGGCAAGCCTGCAGCTTTTTTTTTGTTTACCTCTGATGGTTGTCAAATATACATTAGTTTGCTTCACAGGTAAAGTATTTCATTGTAGATACAATTTTAGATTAAATAATGATTAATACGCATCAAGTCTTATATTCTCCGTAAACTAATTAAACTTAAACAGTGTGTTACAATTTTTCGTACTGTTTGTCGAATATCGAGATTACGGACAGTGAGGTTATACTCTTACATTTTCCATTCTTTAAGTAATTCTGAATGGAATGGACTAAAACAAAGATATAGAATGCAATAATTTTATTTTTAGTATCCATCTATGCCACTGATACATGTTGCTAGTGCCTTATAAATATAATATTAATTCAGTGGAATATTTGGTGACCTTAGCAGTGATTATTGCACATCCGGTTTATTAGAGCGTACATTGTTCAATTTGCATTGGATCTTCATCTGAGTTTTCAAAATGTTAGACTCGTTGACGAGACGCGTTCCATTTGATGACTTGACAGATACCCCAATTTTGCAATGACTGTTTTTAGTTTTTAATCCAGCAGATCAACCAATAGGAAATTGAAACCGTCTTCGTCTATGTCCTATTACTTTACGGAACGTATAGAAAGCTTGCGTAAAAAAAGTCGTGATCTATTAGCGAACGTAAAAGAAAATTCACGGAAAGTTGAGAGTAAACTAAAATTATTACATTTACAAAATTTGTAAGTTTCTAATAAGTATACGCATTAATTATACTATTCTTTGTAGAATTTTTTAATCATCATACACAAAACAAATATATGAATATTATACATACGTAAATTACCATATAATTATTACAACGTAGAAGATCGATTAAAGTACAAATTTCATTTCAGATCATCGCGGGGAAATTTGAATAAGCAATACCAGGTTGCTGAGGGAAATTCAGAATTCTGGAGATTGAGGAACGACTCGAGCGGGGTTAGTGGAGCTCTCTGCCCTGAATACTTTCGTTCATCACCAAAGAATAAATCTCGATCAGCTCCTGACATGACATCAATCGGCCGTATTTTGATAACGTCCTCGAAAACACATCCGAAATTAACCCTGGTGAGAAAATCTGTTAAAGAATGTTACTGTTATCCGGAAACAAGACGGATACAGTGTCGTTCAAACAGAACCAAGTACAAGCCGTGTCCGCAGTGCAACTACTGTAGAAATCATTTCGACATCGTTACCGAAGGTTCCCAAGAAGAGGAATTACCTATTTCAAAAAGTCATACTGTCTGCTCAAACCGCGATGAACTGGAAGTGTCTGTAGCGCGAAATAAAATTGAAAATGGTGTAAAAAAAGTAAGCACCTCTGATGAGAAAGATGGTGCACAGACACCGCTAAGCACAGAGACGCTTAGAAAGGTACAAAAAATCACTTATAGCCCCAGATCACAATTTTTGCGCAACGTGCAAAGTAAAATCTCTTCCCTGCATAATTCATTTAGGAGTGCATCAGAACCTGTTTCTGTATTAGCATTAAACAGACACACATCGAAAATGAGTCAGGATGTTAACATGACGCAATCGCCAAAGCGTATAAACTGCAAAGAATTTACTAAAACTGACGACGAGGACCCTGAAACAGAACACGCGAAGTGTGTGTCACGTAGACCCGTGAAGAAGGACGTAGCAGTTAATGACAGTTGCACTTGTACGAACAAGGATATGCAAATTCCCTCGGAGAAGTCTTTGAAGACAAAGTCATTAATGCGCAGGACGGTAATGTCTAAGAAACCGGAACAGCAGTTTCAGAAAATGCAACTGAAGTCATCACCAAGGAACAGAATCGTTCGCTTAACTCAAAACGACCGCAATTCTGCTTGCTGCGTACATGCAAAGTGTCGCGTCCATGATGATCAGGATGGAAAATATGAAAATTGCAAAGAATATTGCAAGCAGATGAACTGGTCTTTAAAGAGGACTAATTCAAATTATGGAAATGATAATGACCGTGAAAATAATGATGATCTTAAAGACGTAAAGGATCTTCACAAATTTCGCGAACAAAACTACTTCGATACTCATGGTTCCAGTCATACTCTACTCTCATCAGGATCCTCAAGATCTTCTGGATCTCTTAGACAGTACCAATTAAATGACAGACTCTTTCCAGAGCCTGTAAGAAATATTCATAGAGATGATTTAGTAGTAAGCATACCACCATGTGGCACCAAACAAAGAAAACGCGTTCATTATTTTCCAAGATATATTGTCAGGCAAGAGAAGAATTCGTGCGACACAAATTATAAGAAAAGACGCTGTCAAAGTTGTCCGTTGACAGGTCATGCTATAGATCTGGGAATTTTAAAGGTGTCCCATCCGCCAAATAGTTTGGCGCTCAAATATCAAAAAGGAGTTCCATAACTGGCACTTATATTATAGCTTAATTATCTATTTCTAATGATATTTATACCGGCTATCGAAAAAAACATCCAATACTGGATTGTCTATTGTATTTTAGGCATTGCTATCACCTTACTTTAATAACAACTATTATCATGTCATACCAGTTTAATGACACCAATTGAAAAATCATGATTTGTACACACTCAATTATATAATTATTGCGAAATGATCTAATGAAATTTAATGCACTTCGTATGAGTACGCGTTATTCATTAAGTTATCATGACTGTGCATTACATTTTGACATTTTACATTGGCACAAATTTTATAAATAATATAGCATTTTAATAATATCAACCTGTTACTAGTCCTAGTAATGTATTTACAATTTGAACTGACGTGTATTTTATGTCTCAATCAGTTTTTATGTCCCACTAGAAAAATACTTGTTATTCAAATGAAAAACAACCGCTCGGCTACGCCCGCTATAGGTAACTAAATTCCCGAAGTTTTTCTCCGAAGCCATAGGTCACATCATCAACATACTTTTTACTTACACGTTTACTTTACGTTTACATTACGTTTTACTTACATACTTTTTTTCGCCCTAAGGACAAGGTCCTTTGTCTGATTGAATTTTCAACTTCTTTCTGAGTGGTCACTGGAATAAAAAAGTAACGGCAGGAATATATAATTAGTAAGAAATAATATAATTTTTTTCCATTTTGAAATGGTAATTAAAGTAAACGTATACATAATAAATATTCCTGTGATACGTATAAACATAGTAATGCATAATATAATGACAATATAAGCAAACCTGTTAATGTTAAAAAAAATATTTTAATTATACAAAAGAAAACGGCTCGCACGAACCATCCACTTAATAGTTAATGTGTGAATGTTTTTCATTACTTAGTATTACAGAATCAATCTGTATGCTTAATGAGTAAGGTTAAATGAAGACTTATAGTGTCACCTCAAGATGATATTACTATTCAAGATGTATTTATTGCTTCTGCAAAAACATGAAGGGCGATGCATTATCCAATATAGTGTTTATTATATTGAACATCAATTCAAAAATATGAAAAGTCAATTATATAAAATCATTTCCTTTCAGTCCTGACTTTTATACAATGTAGCAATATCAGTAATGGACGTGAGTATTTATGATCAGCCAGTAATTATTATCTAATAAATTACCCAATGGTGGAAAGCAATGAAGAACTTGGAAATTTTCCAAGACTTCTTTATTATCACGTTTCCATCTCAACGAGTCTATTTGGCTTATAGGTCGATTTCTAAACGTTGGGAGAAGGTCAATTGCGAAGAAAAGTCGATTGGACGTCTTTTTCACATTCTCGGTCTACGTGACTCGGTACTCCTATTCGATCAAGGTTGAAATTTATGAGTGGTTTATGAATTTGTCACATTCGGCTTATATCGAAAAATTCTAATGCTACTCATCAGACACTCAATGAAAATCAAATAAAAAAAAAAACAAAAAGTATTTTGTCATTCATTCTTTTCTGTCACATTTTTTACTGAAATTCCCAGAATATACTTGACAATTCATTGCACGTTTATGCGAATTTTCTAATATCTACATTGTCGTCCTATGCAACTCTTTCATGCGTTGCGAATTATTTTTTCTTTTTTGGCAATAATTTCCGACCCCCCCTCACTCGAGTGCCCTATGAATTTTTCATGCACCACCACAGTATACGTAATGTTCCTTGGGCTTTTTCATTTATCTCAGAAACGATTTATATTCCTTAAATTTGAAAAGCATCCTCGTGCCCATGTGCACGTACCAATGATAGTAGAAAGACAAAATTTGGCCAGCATTCCCTTTTATTTTTTCAATTTATTTTCTTTACTTCACTTTTATATCTTCTCTTTCTCCCTATCTCTTTTCTCTCTCTTGCCAAAGTCCTTGTTCATGAATCTTTCATGAGCCTCTACAATGATTTTTCTCATTTCCTTTTTTCAAGTCTCTCCAGACTGACGTCATGCACAGTAGATTCACATATTCTTGCATCTTATTTTTCCTTTACGAATCGATGCACTCTGAACGCAGTAATAATGCAGGCGGCTAAAAAAATGTTGAACTACATTTTTTATCTAGACAACCACATTATTTATTTTTTGTAATTATATACCGTGGCATTTGATATTTTGTCAATTCATTTTCCGGACTGTAGGTATACAACGTATATATTATTTTTTAGGTTAACTGTAACAGAAACCTTTTGATCATTGAACGTTGCGCGATTTACATTTTTTGTTTATTGCTAGACTATAATAAATTGTTAGTTTCGATAGAAGAGTTTTCAAAAATAAATATAGTATAGCCTATGGGGTGGCTGTCATTTCCATAATGCGATCGCAATAGATGAAAACAACTTGACAATGACGAAAGATAATTTTCTATTGACAGCTAATTGGAAAACATGACAGGGTATGCTACGTACGTAGTACTGTAATATATATAAATATATTTTTTTAAAAGATTATTACCCGTCATCGTTGTTGTCCATGACCCACAAATTTTATTACTGTAATCTACGAATTTCTGACATATTCCAGAATCGCATTAAATTTGTGAATGCCATGAAAACGCTCTCGCTACGACATCATTAAATCAATTGACGAATGCAAACGACTTTAAATTTCGTAGAATCATCGTAACGACCTCATCGTCTGTCTTATAACTTTTGCTCGAGTCTATCTACTTTATCATCGGTTAATGGAATAAATCGATGGTTTTGTTTAAGAAGCACTTATTTTTTATTATGAAAAGATTATCGATTTATAAATGCAAAAATGTTCTTTTGTCTGTAAAATCCAATAAGTGGTCTGTGAGTATCTTTGGTATTTGAATAATAACGTAAATAGGTAAATATTGTATCTCTGCATACGGAAAATAATTTACTATGCTATCAGAATACGAACACGTTGTTCTACATGTGAGAAACACGTTTTGTCGTGGAAAGGCCTGTAGAGGTATTCTGGAAAAATACAGCAGTATTAATAACTGATACTAATTTACTATAAAAATAGTATAACCTCCCGAAAAAGAAGAAATCACGCAAAACTTCTAGTTGCATTAATTAACTGAGTAGAAGGGGCATTGGTTTTTGAATTTCTTAAACACGCATACCAAATAAATTATATCGATAATAATAGTGGAAAATTTATGGGTTCACGGAACAAATATTTGCTACAATTCTGATGAATCTAACTAGAGATCAATCTATGATATATATATATATATATATACACACTACCTTAAATACGTTAAACCATTTTTTAAATGATTGTTCAGATTTTTTTTAAGCTGGAAAAAAATTATTTTTTTATTGTATAATAATTTGTGAGACTTCAATTTAACTAGGAGAATTTTGAATTGGTTGTATAAATGAGAATTGCTATCGCCTTTCTAGGAATGGTAACGCACTTATCCGCGAAATCTACGAGTGGATAGTAACGGTGGTCGCCGTGACGCATCGCAAAACCTGCAATTAGGGATACGTATTTGCTTTTTTGTTATATGCAAACGTTGTGTTGTGAAATGGGCGAGATTTGATGATTTTTGCGTGAGATGTTCTGTCGCGCATGATACAAGGAGAACATGGTGGGGCATCGCGACTTGTTTAAATAGACAGGATAATTGCCGGTGTCTTTCAGTTCTGCTTTCAGTCTACATTCACCGCTCTTAAGGGTATCTTCGGGTGGAAATTCAACGCGAAGCAAATATTTTTCAATTTTCAATATGAAGTCTATAGTTGCATTGCTTTTCGGAGTACTCGCACTTGCGAGCTCGATAGAACTTCGTAAGTGTAACTAAAATTTATATTGCATTACGTGCGGTTGTTAGAATTTTTTTTAGTGATATTTTTTCTGAAATTGTTTCTGTATTCTGTGTTTCGTTTATATATAATACTTTTGCAAGCTCAATATAACTTCTTAAGTGCATCAGAAATTATATGGCAACTATTGCTTATCGTTAGTGATATATTTTAGTTAAAAAATGAGAGCTCGAGTGTCACGTAATGGAATTCTGGGACTTGCAACACTCTCTTTTTCATTCATGTCCCCGTACGACATTTTAATTTCATCGTAATGCCACTCTTGACTAGGTCATGGATCATGACGCTGCGTTATACTAAAAAAATTAATACTATTCAATTTTTGCTGATTATTTACTCACTTTGACGCAATTAGTGAAAGCGAGTTCTGAACTCGAGTACGTTAGTTGTAGTACTTTGACCATTTCTGTCAAAACCTTAGTAACGTAATCGTATACAAATACGGTATTAATTATCATTTTCTAATTACAGCCAGTACATTTCAAACGTGCCACAAGTCCGATCCACAGTACAGCGCATGCCTGGACCGCGCTGTATCCAATGCAGTAACTTCCTTGGGATCAGGTTAGTGAAAAATATTAAGGTTGAAGAGACCTCGGAATCCTTTGAATTTTTCTCATTCATTGCATTTGGATCTACATGCTGTACGAATGTATATGATAAGTTTCCTCCAGAGCTACGAGTTTTCTTACTCACTCACTCGCTCAGCTACCTCATATAATTTATAGAGGTTCTCCTTGACTCGTATGTGCGGATGCCCTTTCGCTCTAGGTAGCACGTGTAAAAAAAAACTTTCCGCCTTTCATTCTCCAAATGTGTAGACAACACGTACTTGGTGTGCACTTGTTTGACGTGCATCTTGCAATGTGTAGAAAAGCGAATAACAATTTTTTTTTTCCTTTTTCATTGATGTAGGTCTGAAGAGCTTCAAGATTCTACCGATCGAACCGCTGGCAGTGAACAGCGTAAAAATTGGCGAAAGTAAAGGTCCTGTCTCACTGAAACAGGAATATAAAAATATCAAATTGCATGGTTTAACAAGGAACCTACGAGTATATAATTACAAGTGCGTTTTAGCGGGAGATTTATAAGTGCTCATTGTGTAAACCGCTTTTTACAATTCTTTTTAATACATTTATGTTTCAGTATTGATTGGAATACGATGATCTTAACTTCCGATTCATATAATCCACAAGTCGATTTTGTTGCTGATTATAAAGTGAATGGACAAGTTTTGGTATTGCCAATTAGAGGATCTGGACATTCTAACATTACTATGCGTAAGTGGGTCTTTGATAGTTGTAATAAGTAAAAAATGACTTACTGATTTCTTCATTTCCCGTTTCCTTTGCAGTGGATCTCAATGCCAAGAACACTATCTATTGTGAGAAGTATGAGAAGGATGGCGAAACCTACGTGAGAGTTAAGAAATATGATATTAAATTTAATCCCAGAAAGGTGATCTTACAATTCGACAATCTTTTCGAAGGTGACACGGTTCTAGGTAAAATTTATTCTCTTTGTTATTTTCATAATACTCCGGATATATAATAATTTAAACGTTGTATGTAACATTGAAATATTTTTATTTTCTGTTTTTAGGAGAACAGATGAACAAATTTATTAATGAGAACTCAGACTTACTTTTCAAAGAACTTCAAGCTCCCTACGAAGAAACCTTTGGACTGGTCTTTACAAAAATCAGTAACGACATATTCAGTAGAATCCCCATGGAAAAGATATTCCCTGCCTGAGATGAATTGTTATGCGGCTTCTGCGAAGCTTTGTATTATTTTTTGCAAAAATTCGTAAAGTGAAATAAACTGCGTTTTTCTTGTTTTTATACAATTAATTGTGTGTCACACTTCGACTTCTTTGAAACTGATACCTTACCTCCCAGCATGCTTCACGGTGATGAGTTTAAAATCGGTTTTCCTGTAAGATTTGAAAAAGGCTCTCTAAATGCTCAAATATATTCTATAAACTATCTAGAACAAGAGATTGTAATATAGATTATATTTTTACAATTGTGCAGCTGATTACGTATAGTTACGAGAATTAAATATACGTAAAGAATCGACAGTTGCTTTGAAGAATTCATACTGACGTCACTACATTGAGAAAAACTTTGATTACAAATGGCCGCCCTGTGTTGAGATGTCAAAAACGTGATAGAATTTAATCGTGACACATGAACGTAGTTTTTGTGGACTTTTTAGTATTGGTCATATCGCTAAATATATATATTTTTAATACCTATTTAGGGTGACGATAGACGAAACAATCATTTTTTTCAATCTTTCACAAAAGTGCAATGGCTTACAGTACTTTTTTGTATGATATACTTGGTAAAGTTTCACAAATTGTAGGACCTGACAAAGCAGAGATACAGTTCGTTTTACATGAAAATGTCGAAACAGCTTTACTGAAGAAAGATCGGTTTTATCATAATGGCAGAAGACTCACTGAAAATGAACCTTTTGAAAAATATATTAAATGTGGTCTACAGGTACTGTTGAAGACTCATATTGTTATATTTTGGATAATGATATAAGTGTTACTATATTGTTTCTCAGGTTAAGTTTTCATGTCATATTTTTGATTCTACACCCAAAAATGCTTACGGATGGTATGTCACTATATGCTGGCGACATAAGACTGAGTCTGAGACACAAATTCAGATGTGTACAGGAATGACAAACGTTTTGGGTGAAGTTACTAAATTAAAAAAACGTCATGGAACACTTACCATGGAAGATAATGCTGGTAGAGAGCGTAAGGTGCATTTTTTAGCCAGCAAATTTTATGTTCGTGGCAAAAGGTTTCCTGGATCCAAAGTTTTATCTAGTGAATTGAGTCTCGATGATAAAGTTTTCTTCGATGCTATACCATGCATGCCAGAAGAAAATGAGGAAAATTGTGAATGGTTTGCCACATGTGTATTTAAGGGACAAAGGCCTCAATGCAAAGATGATGAAAAATTGAATGACAACATCCTGGGAAATTTAGTAAGAAATTCAAATTCTGAGTTATTTATAAGTGAATCGCCTATTGTGTTATGGTTAAAGTTTTTATCAAATTTTGCAAAGGTTCCACAAACAAGTTCTGATCGCATCATGAAATCAGGTGCATGTTTAGCAGAAATAGTTAAACTTGTATGTATTCCTATTATTTTCATATTTTTATTTATTTGTATTATTCTCAGTATTTTGATGGATCATATTCCTATTTTTTTGTTACAGTACATCAATGATCCACGTAATGTATTTGTAAGTGGTGCAGGAGTTGTATTAGATATTTTTAACGATGACTACGGCATTATACTGGGTGAATTTCAACGTAATCTCTGCGAAACAATTGTGTTCCATCGCCGGAATGCATTTCTTTTCAAAATGAGTTTGGCTCATTCGAAACTTGGTGAAACGTTCATGGAAGGTAATAAGATTTGATGTATAGCTTATTTATTATTAATAAATACTAACCGATTTACGTTGATTAGTCAGAGGTGCTTACCCTGAAGTTTAGAAGTGAATTAATAATAAATGGCAAGGATTAGATATAATATGGGTCAATAGTGTTGCTCCACAGTAAACAAGCTTTTATTTTTGCCTTGACATGGACAAACATTTCAAAAGTGCGTGTACTCAGAATTTCGTAATTTTTTTTGACGTGCGAAATATTCACATTTACTATTCAGTAATCTGAATTTTGTAGTCACTATTGCAACATAACAACTATTCTCTGTTGATAGTGAAGCTAAACTAATAAATTTTGCCAATTTTATCTTCTGTTCGTAGGTTATCGAAAGTAGGTACAATAATTCTTGCAAGATCTACTTTATCGACCGACTGTCTCTCATCGAATTATCAGTATCTGGATAATTTTGTTCCAGGAGATCGACTCAAGTTTATCGCAGTAAGAGCTCCAATAAATTTCATTACCGACTGGATCGCAATTCAAGTTTCTGTTTTTTGCCCGGAAAATATGAATAATCTGAGCGATGATGAGAATTCACCGGTTAAACAAGAAATAACTGAATAAAGAACCGTTTCATAAAAAAAACTACATACTAAAGGAAACTACTTGCAGATCCAAGATCAAAACACTTATAGTTACTATGATATTGTAATTCAATATGTATAATTAAAAGAAAATATTTTTTTTATCGAACAGTATCTTTAACTGTTACTGAACCAAACCTTTCTAATATTTTTCGAAATCTCTGGGATCTGAAATATGACTATTCAAGTATTCTTTATGGAATACCTGAGACATAGAATTTTTATAATTATTATATTCCTCAAAGAGAAATTCTAACACTGCTGATACATAACTGTTACATTGTTTTTGCCGAGTACTACATTGAAATGTCTGAAAATGTTGAGAAAAAAGTTTTAGCCTGATCATGACTCAAACAAGATATCCCAGAGTATCCATTTCCAGAATTTTCAAATCCTCTTTCTATTATTTCTCGAAATTCCACACAACCAATTTATAAAATACGTTGTTGCCATCTCCAGGAGCAGGAGCTTACTCCACGTGTATCAAAAGATCATGCCACTTCGTTACTGTAGTTTATCGAGGAATTGCGTACGTAAGATTTAGAAAAAAGCAAAAGACTTCAATGAATCCCACCGGATTATGATACGACATACAGCATGGAAACGAGGAATGTTCTAATCTGTCATATCTCTAAGCTCTGACCTCGTTACCGAGGAAATTCCTTAATGAACAAAACTTTTCCGGCATTAGATCCTCCAAAGAAATAAAGCCGTCAAGCAGGAAAAAGAAGACAGACGAAGAAACTAAGATTTTTATATCGTCCCTCACATCGACTTGGATCTTTACGGCGATCGGGCTTTATCCGTCCAGCAAATTAAGCAATTCGGATGCCAGACTCGAATGCAACACTCCGTCGATTCTTTTCTTCCTTGCCGTCAACTTTTCTCATCTTGTACACTCGCCCATCAACATTGCATATACATATGTCTCTTTGGGGTCCATGCCTTTTCTCAACCATCATATATTCGTCCCACTAGTATTGTATATTTTTAGCGAGACAAGTTTTTGCCCTCAGCTCCATTTCAGGGCCCGATAGTCTCGTTTCGCCTTTAGTATTTCGTCCGATTCACAACGTACCTCGTAAATCGGATCGATCATCGTGGAATTATCCCAACGGACGACTTCTTTATCTTCGTCCGGCGATACGCAAAGTTGACATACGCGCGCGCCTTCATTATCATTGAGACGCCAAAGAGCAAGTAAACTTTCATGGGGCCATAAAACTTTAGTATTTACGATTACCGATACCTTACGTTACTTTTGCGATACTCATAAAGTTTCCCTTAATAAAAAATAAATTCCAAGTCCTGCATTTAAATCCCGTCTAATAATCTCGTGCTATTTCATTCATTCGGAATTCCATATAGAATTGTTGATTACTTAGACTGCTTGAGTGTCAATATTAAACAGGAACCCTGTAGACGCAGTATAGCGGTTTTTTAAGTTTCTGAAATTTTTCCTTTCCTCATCCATTTCGTTAGAATGATGATTGCTGCTTCTGTAATCATCGTAGTCTGTTGCACTTACGTAGAACGTACGAAACGAATGGCTCCAGTATTCTATGCCGTAAACAAGTTATACGCACGAGGGAGACATCCCACTGTCTGGTATCTGAAGTTTGTTTCGTGTATGCATACCATTCGTATCTTCCAAGGCCTAACCTAAAAGCGATAAACGACAGGCCTGGTTAGTGAAGAACTACATAAAATAACAAGTACTGTGGGGAGTAGTGATACAATTCTTAAAAGAAATAGACACAAAAAACTTTCTGTTTCTGATTGTTTCCACATTTTACTTCTTCTTGACAAACTGTCGCAACAATAATTTGCGTAACTTCACTCGGTAGGCTCGTTCATTTTACGTCCCAAGAAGAAAATCGTCACGCCATCTTTTCCCTTTCGTATGACACAAGTGGACAGTGGTAAAAAGGAGAACTAAAGAATCCACCAAGCGGAAGATCTCGAAGTCATCTAGCCGAATCCGTTAAACTCTGTTGATTCTTATTTTTGTTAAGATTTCTTAACGATCCTTTCTCTCAGGACTTTTTGCCAAGGATTATGATAATATTTGTCTTTGACGTTGTATCATAATCGTTATACCCAGTACACAATATACTGACAACATAGATAAATTTAAGAACGCACAAAATGCATAATTCACACGGTAAAGGTAACCATGTCAAATCTTAAAGTAGTTTGCAAATTTTCATATTCGTCATGGTGCATTTTAATAATGTATATTTACCAAGTTGCCGGTTCTCATTATCTCGTTGCACTTCCTCGCAAAGGGCTTAACACGCGTCCAACTCAATTGGGACACGAGGCTCTTTTGCAGCTCGGTTCACTGGTTCTGATATTACGAACAGTTTTGCGGCATCAAGGCCGCCTCCTTACTTGAGATCTTGTCTCACGATGACTCACGCCTAGCTTGGCTGGCTGCCTTCCTTCCTTCCCTCGCAAAAGACCACTTCTTGCACTTACACGCTTAACATACTTTATAGACACTTTGGAGAATGGCGCGCGTCTCTGAGATTGGTCCATGCTGTACAGCAGCATCCCTCAAAAATAAAGTATATATTTATTGAACATTGTAGCATGAAAATAGTATATTACAGATTGCATTAGAAACTGAGCGTTATTATTATTATTATTCTGAACGTAATAATATCTCTGATGGGAATAAATTTAACCTTTTTATCATCGAAGACTCTTATTGTTGAGGAAACCTCGTGAGCATTTCGCTCGCCTTGGAGGCGTGCGAGTCCTTAATTAATCTCGAGCTAATTAAATCCAATAAGAATGGATCGTTTCTGGGCCGAGGTTCACTCACTGTTTTGCCCTTCTACTGTTTAAGTATAGTCTATTATATTTCTATGGGATTCTATGGCTCACCATATGAGCTCTGAAACGTGGGCTTTTAGCATAAGGTTTTTACTTTGAGGTAGGTGAAATTTCAAGGTATGAAGATCAATAATCTGAATTCATTATGGCAGATACGTAATGCGCTGGGGTTGGGATATTTAGGAAATGACCTTGAACGAATAAATTTTACGAGCAGTTGACCCGCGGCTTGTATCCTTATACGGATCTGGTACCACTAATAGGAAGTATCCTTGCCCGGTCGGTCCGGTCTCTACTCTTGATACGTGGTCCATTGCCGTGTGGCCTCCGGCGAGAAATAATTCCGAATAAAAGTCTCACCATCTAAGGGAGTCCTAAGGACCATGCCTGGTCCCCATCGTACGTGAAGCTGGCCGACCTACACGATACGGATAAACACGTCTTCTTTACGTACCAACTTCATTTCTATATGTATGTTTACGGGTTCATGGTTTCTCTTGACGGAATAAAGAAAAAGAAAGAGAAAGGTGGAAACATCCAAAAATAAACCGGATACGTATGGGTCAGTTATGGGTGAGAAGGTAAAGTAATAATTTATTATTATTATTATTTCTTTTAAATAAAAAAATAATCAATGCTTCATAATACTCATTATTTTCTGTGAGTGATAAGAGATCAAGATCGTTTATCTTTAAATCTGCATGTCTCGATCTGCGATCTAGATTAACTGAGTTTTTGATCTATTGTTATCGGAACATTTATCAGGATCTTTATTTTCTATTTTTTGTATCTGCCATCTTCTCTTCAGATGGATCCCATATGTGGTTGCCTTTGGCTTATTTTGTAATAACGTTGTGGCAGTGCTCTTAGTATTATTCTCTGATTATTAATTGTCATTCTTATAACTTGGGTGTGGTACGTACCTTTATCTTTTTGCTTATTTAGATCTTTTATTTCAGTACTTATTCAGAAACAATAACCGTGCGTGTCATAGGCATTTATAATGGGAGGATTGAGTTCTCTTCTTGGGTGGGATTCATTTATGATTTATTGTCGGTCAGTGCCAAGAAAAATGTCACACGATTCTCTTAACGATTCGCAAAGCGATTCGCAATCGGATTCGTGTCTACTCCATAATGCAGCGGCGAAACGCGTCAGAATTACTAAGAGAAAAAGTCAAGTATGCCCTTAAACGTACCGGTTGCACCGGTGCAGTAAGTGCAGCTCTATTGAGTCCTGCACCCACAGATCACTTGGGACTATTTATATATATATATAATCTGGAAATTTTTAATGGCCCTATTTGGAACGGTCACGTTTAAAGCATGAAAATGTGAACGGTAGTGAATAAGCGTAGGTACATACATCCATATGCTATACGAAGTCTATTCAGTTGATGAATAAGGGAAGGAAAGAAAAAAAAAGGGTTGATCAAAGAAAATCACACTTGGAAATGGAAACAGTCTTGCATTGTGAGAAGCCATTTTGGTTGCATTGAGTCTTTTGATGAACAATCAAAAAAGAGAATGAATTACGTTGAATAAAAAAAATGTCGATTTATACAGAGAAAATTTTGAATAGTTCCTCAAGAAACGGTCGTCCCGCGTTCCTGCGCATTTCTCGTGTGACAGTCCGAGATGTCTGGACGTCTTTTAAAAATACTGGAGGCGCCTCGACACGATTTTTTTATTTTGTTACTTTTTGATTCATTCTACACGCGTTCCACGTGTCTGGTCTTTCTTTTTGATTCTTACGCGGGCCGATCGTGCTGCCCTCTGTTGTGAAATAACGCAAGATCGTGTCATGAGAGACGAAGAGTGTGTCGAAGACGCTTTGGGACTCGTATATACTGGCGCCTTCATCTTCTTGATATACTCCAATTTTATTTCCTTTTATTTTTGCCTTCGCTCTTTATTCCGTTCGAGAAGATACACTCCCTGCACGTAAAAACGTACGAGATTTATCGAGGAGTCGACATATTTTTTGCCTTCTATTTTTTACTTCTCGCACTGTACTCCTTCACCACAAGGACTTCACCAGCAGCGAAACTTCCACACTGGCGAATACAATTTTCAAGGATAGTCAAGAGGTTCATGTACCTACTACAGAACACAAGGCAAGTTTCCATAGATTCCCGACCATCCATCAAAATCTAACCTTCGAACCGTGAAAGACACATATTCGGCATCTAAAGCAGCGGCGAATGTACACGTGATCAGATACATATCCATAGCCACCTTTGAACTATTAATCATACGGATGAGTGAGACGTTATTCAATAATCATTGAACGTATCAGTAGCGTTTTTTATCACTCAAAAATGAACAGATAAATACATTAAGAATCTGATTTGGTTTCTATGTCGAGATTAAAATCAGATAGGTTATGTAATACTGTGATAGCCACGTGCCAATATTGTCTGTGTAAATTATTATTCTGATCCCAAAGCAAACGTTGGTTAAATAATTAATATTGTATAGAATAAAAAAATATTGTTGTAACTATCTTTTTACACTTTTTATACTACTAATGACTTTATTACAGAATATACGTAGGCAGTAGTCAAGCTCTAAACGGAATCCCAATGGTGGTTGTTCCGGGGCTGAAAATAATCAACCGCGGTCGCACGAACTTTCGACCTGCGGCGAATGCAACAAGAATAAATCCTGGCAAGTCTCACTACTATAAGCACCCGCGTGCGGAGGCCTCAAGCGGTCGCGATTCTCGTGTACTTTTTATTCCGTCGCAAATGCCAGGCCACCGGGTAAAACGAATAATTAGTATACACAGTCTAAGAATAGACGCCACGGTAATGTCAATGTCTTGGCTAATTTCTGGTCGAAAGATATACGAATGTATACCCAGAAATGATAATAATGTTACATTAAGAGTAATAACGAAGTATAAGTAAAATAGATACAACTCCATTTTAGTTATGAGTAATAATTTCTAACCTCAAGGCGAAGATAATATTTTCAATGTCAAGGATACCGTGGCGATATGGAATATCAATGTAGACGTAAATTAAAACGACGTGGAGAGGCTGCTATTTCCCTGAACTATCTTATTCGACGTTACGATATATATGGAACATATTTCCCCATTTAGAATAAACTGGCGTTTACATTCTCGCGAATTTACTCATGAGTAATAACACTCGAAAAGCTACACTCATAGATAGACATATACGGACACGAGGACTCCAGTTCTCAAAATGGCCAAGCCAAGGCTCTGAACTTCCGTGTCTCGTTCGCGCGCTCTGTATTTCTCATTCCGATTCTCATTTCCTTTAGGTATTATTATACGCCGGCAGTACGGCAATATAACGCGTCGAACGTTTATGCGAACGCGTGCGTCCCTCAACTGCCATATTTGAATTTAATAACATCGCGGCTGAATGCAGCGCCGAGCGTCGTGAGTTAAAATGGAATTAAACTTCTGACATGGTCACATCGTTCTACTAACGAAAATTCATATCAACTTTAACACACAGTATACTGTATGTATTTACACGTAAGTCCGTGATTAAAAGGTTTGCAAAAGATCAGGTAAGTCATACGAAGATTCCTAACCTAGAAATAACACAATATGCTGAAAAGTTCTTACGTTCTGACTAAGTGTCTTTTTCGACTATCTTGTTATGTCATTAGCCACAAGAGCAACAGGTGACTTTGTTTTGGAATATTCGCTGGAATTTCATGGATAAAAATGCATTGCCGCACCTCAATTCGTTGCGACGGAGAAGTCCAAGCGAATATATAACAAACTAACCTAAAAATCATCTAATCCAGTGCGTGGGCAGATTCTTGGCCTCGTCTTGGTACGTTACTGCCATTGTTCTGTCCGTCAATCATCAAGCCTACCGACACAGCAGCGACACTCTACGAATCGTTTAAACTGGCTCAGCCACCACAGCTATTCGTTTCGATCGTAATTGCGCGCTGGTGGTAAGCCACGTTCTTGATTCTGACATTAATCATTTTCAGACACGTGGCATAAGGTAGTGTCTACTGAATTTCACCATAAGAAACACTCAATGAACTCGATGCACATAAATTCCCATAGTCAAGTTTCACTTGGTAAGTACATGTGGACCTGTAGATTATTATGAGAAGTATACAATGCAGAATGCAGGCGTTGAACCGAACGAAAAATTGTAATATGATTTATCTAGGGCACCCGAAGGAACGTGAAAGGCGAGAGGAAGTGAAGGAAAATCAAAGCTAAAAAGAAGACAGAGTGGATGAGAAAAAGTAGAAGAAAAATCTTGAAGGAAGAGGTGTGGAGATCACTGAAGGCTGCTTTGTTTTTTTTTCTTCTAGGCGTCTGAGTTGTAGTCTGAAGTTCCTCCTCCTGCTTGAGACTTCTGGTTTTAAGACAAGGCTGCAGGCTGTCACATTAACCCCTCATTAGTGTGAAATATACACACCTTGCATGCTTCTTCAGTAGGCTTATTTCGACCTAACGCTGTAACGTTGTTGGGATGTGTATTTACATTTAACATAGAGGAACAGTGGCCTGAGGTAGCTAAGGTCGAGCCTCGTCATACCTTGTGGGTGGCTGTGTTCGCGATCTTGTACCAGCCTTGTACGCAAGGACCAGGATTATTTATTGTATATGGCAACCATGGACAATCAGTATGCCATAGGTTAAGTTCATCTTCATGACTCTGTCATACATTGCTAAAAAAGGCTGGGACTTTTTGAGAACCTTCACACGAGAATATCGTATAGCAATCGTCTCAGTCATTAAATTCAGATTGAATGTAAATGTTTAATCTACAATTGGTCTGGTTGTAATAGATTAAAAATTTTTAATGACTGTAGCATGATTATTTGGAAATTTATATTATGCAATTTGTGCTATTGATTACATTGAATATCAAACCGTAATCTTGACCTCATTGAATCGATCGATGAGATTAATACAAATGGAATTTAACGGCGACTTATTAGAGGATCTATCGTTAGAAAGTTTTATTCCTCTGAGGGAAAGGTTTGTTGATGGTCCCTTTTAGATTTTTTTCAATTAAACCCGAACTCTCTCGTCTATTCTGTTTGGACGGAAGGCAAATACTACTAGTTTCCGCTGCTAACTACTGGCTGGTGGTACGGGCAGGGCCGTATAAATTGATGGTACAAGGTTATGTATTCTTTTTTAATCTTGATCAAATTGCATAAGATAATTTGGCGACATTAGCGGTACTTATTGCCACGCGTGTCGAAAACACCGTGATGTTTATCGGTTTAAAAGTCGTTTTCCATAACGGCGATGACTTTCCATTGTCGTTTACGCACGTCATTAAACGGTCTGATTCTTCCACTTTCGATTTCACTTACTTCTGTAGCAGTAAAAATTACCGGTATACTTTAACAAAAGCCAGAGCACTTCCTTCCTAAATTAACCTATAAAAACCCACCTTAATATCGCAGACTCAACTCCGACATTATTTAGTTGATGTTTTTCTTTCTTTCTTAGACGATAACACTACTTAGGATAAATTTGAGAGAAAACAACAGATCAGTAGCATCGGCAAGAGTGCATGACAATCTTATAGGTTATAAAGTCCGAATAAACGCATTCAAAGTAGTCCAAATGTTTTTTTTACTTTAAAAAATCCCCAAAATATCTTTTATCCCTAGGGAACCCTTTCAAAGATTCCCCAATAACAATCCGCCCCTGATAATTTAAGTAAAACGCGTAGGCAGAACCGAACATAGAGTCAGATGAGGCCAGAGGCACCTGTGCCGCCCACAAGAATTGAAAAGGGCCTCAGGCCCAATCAGAAAGTCCTATCCTAACTCCTTACCGCTCAATTAGTCGACAAACGGTTAATATAATGAAATTCGACGTTTGCGCCACATTCACATCGGTCACGGAAGCCCGTTTTCACCCAAGTGGACCAGTCATAGATGCTGCACAATGAAAATATTGTACGCGCGTGTACTCAAAAATACATGGTACCTCGGGTATCCTTCCCGCATTAATTTCTAACAACATTTCTTCGTCTATCGATGCCCCAAGATAATTGTTACGGCTATTAACGTGTCTCGGTGATTAAAAAAAGAAATAGATAATCTCGCAATAAACCAGAGGACAAGACTCGAAGGTTTCGCTATAGGAAATCTTGGTGAAGGAACGCGGAGTACTCTTGACTCACTTTGTACTAATTAGAAAACTCTTTTCCTGGAATCCTATACGTATATAGCCATAATAATAGCCATAGATATAAATACACAGAGAGGTTGCGTATCTAATGACACAAGGTAGCACACTAATACGTGAGTATGTTATAATGTGTAATGCACGTACTTCTGATGAGTACTCTAAAAAAGGCCTCTTCCGAGACACGCGTATCACGCGGATGTGTATTCCGTTGTTGCTCCGAGAGGAGAGCCGTCTCGCCATATCCGGCAAGGACGCTAGTCCCGTACAGTATTGGGGCCTTATAATGGGCCTCACTCTCTATCTACGCGGCGAGTCGACTGTGTCGCAAAAGCCTCGCGAAAACAACTCTCCGTTCTCTTCGTACCGATCGGCGTCTCTTGGCGTTTCCTCTACCTTGCGTTCCTTTTTTGTTTTCATTTACTCCTTGCTTTTACTTCTTCTTCTTCGTTCCATTGAGAATGCTCTTTCGCAAGAACTGTCCCTTTTTTATTTTCTAGAGGGACTTAATATCTTTACGACTCGTGTCCCAACCACTTGGAAAATGCTTAAAGCTTTTCTCGTGACTGTGTCACGTGACCTCGCTGAGGACTCTTAGGTTAGCTGAAAGAATATGCTCTTGCGTTTAACTACCGTATGTGTTTATGTATATATTTGTCTGTTGCGCATACAGGATGCACTCGTAATAATAATAGAGACGGATGAGTTTTGACAAGACTTTTGGACGAGGTCAAGATGGTTTCATCAGATTTGATTAGAGGCTATTCGATTAGATCATTCTTTTGCGTCAATTACGTGCCCAGTGGTCTACAAACACCAGCAGGGTAACTTTGGGTATTGTATGAAGTTGGAAATTTGATAGGGATGCTTTAGGGGGGCATCAGGAAATAATAGAGGAGAATGTAGGATAATTTGAAAAGGTTCGTCAAAACAAATATGAGATTACGAATTAAGTATTTTTTTTTCTCGTTTATTCGTTTAATCCTTTTTTAATATGAAACTCTTTTCATTTTACAACTCGTCGTCGTAGATAAAATAACGTAACGTAGGCAACATTGTGTATAATTATAATTGTCGTAATTCCCTCGACAATGATAATCATAATAATATATATATAATATAATATTGATATCGTAATAATTAATATTATTTATTGACCTAGTAAGACCGTTCGATACGAAAAAGGGCAGAAAACGCGCGAGTGACATTAATGGAACGAAAGCGGGTTTCAAACCATGAAAATCATGTGAATCGCAAGCGATTTTTTTTCTTTTTTTCAAAAATAACAAAGAAATACAAAAATTTACGAGCGAGCGACCAAGCGAGGACTTGGCTCGTTAGGCATTTTTCGAAGTTTTAGATTAGGCTCATTGAGGATAATCGTTATACTATGTATTATTGGGTCGTACTTAAGGCCATTTTTTTATTGGGACTCTTTAGGGCCCATTTTCATATGCACCTATCGAAAGAGACGGATATAAAAGCTCGTGGACCCATGATGGCGGTCCTTCGATATTTCTGTGTGCTCGATTCCCATGGCGAAAACGGCACGTATAATAAACGCGTGTGGTGTTTTTGTCGGGACTCGTGAAAACATAAACGAAGGAAACGAAAGAAGAGAAAAAAAATTAATATAACATTTTCAAACGAGTCCCCCCAAAAAGAACAACGACGCGTCTCGCGATATCGCGCAATTCCTTAACTAAACGGTTTACTCGTTTCTAAATACTAAAAAATATTTCAGGTTCTTCCTTCCATTTGTTATAGCGCGATATAACGCATCGCTATGAGGAATTGAAATTTCCATATGGTTTTGCTTATTGTTTGTATCTTTTTCTCTTTTTTCTATTCTTTTCTTCATCCACTATCATTTCACATTCTAAAATATAACCCTTAGCGATAAATGGTTCCCCTCGTTTAACTATAGGGCATTATCTTATTTGCTTACTAAGACACTTGGTACAAAAAGGATCTACTGTCACTTTTGGTATAAAAACATTTAAATATTGGAATGGTATTTATATATCTGATGATACGCTATCTATGCAGTCTGTTCGGAGATAAGTTCGGCTATTCTTTTTTTCTTCCACTTTCCCTACTCTATTCTTTTAATCGGGTTCTCCCTACACTAGGGGTCTCAACATTTTTTTTTCCCATAGTACACCAGTGTTTCGATCCACAATTTTTGCTATGACTTTTTTTTAACTTTCGTGTCGTTTTTGATCCGCATACATTTTTTCAAAAACATTTTCTGTCTTTTTCTATAAATTGCATCCATTATCCATTTTTTCTACAGATTGTACTCATATGTTCCAGTTACATCGTTCAAGCACAGTACAGAGGTTATACGTGTGAATGTAATAATAGCGCGGAAAACGACGCGAACAACACGTAAATAAATTGTCTTTAATAAATACAACCGATAGACTATATAAATAAATAATTTCTAAATAGAATCGTCGATACGATTCGAACGATTCACTTAATTGCAATCAACTCACTCAAGGAGCCTTTCAACGGGCGACACCCAAAAGTCCAATTAACTCGCATGGGAAGCAAATTGATTCGGGAAGCCATTAATATAACGCAAGACGTGTAATAACATACCTATGCATACGTAGAACTCGACAGAAATCTCTCTCGTTCTTCTATTCAACCTTTTTAAGACCGATTTTAAAGAAAAGCTCGAAAACGCGGTAATCTTCATCCTTCTCTCAATCTTCGTTAACCTAACCTATACCGCGCGAATGAATCTTCAATCGAGGATTTTTAAAGAACAGTAGCTGACGATTTCGAACAACACTAGGATATCGTTCCCGTACCCATGCGTTATGAAAAATAAAAAAAGAAAGTTGTTCGCAATCAGTCCCATGTTATTGGTACAGCGAATGACATCCTTTTTTAATTATTCTATAAAAAAATCCTCGATGATCTAGGGACTCCACAAAATCCTGATTTCACGATCTGCACGTGAATAGAAAAAACAGTGTATAAGATTTTCTCTCATTCTTTGTGAGCAGGAATTTACAAATTGATCACATTCTATTAAATTTTTTTTTTATCGACTCATTCATTCATTATCCCCAATGAGATGACGATTCACTCAAACACTATCGGACGCTACGGACATGGGCCTTTTGTACACGGGTGCTGGTATCCTAGAGAATCCACCGCGTTCGGAGGCCGGCTTAGGATCCTTCCTAGGACTGGCGACGACTTGGACGTCCTGGGGTAGAACGACAATCCCGTTGCCATCTATCCAGGCCCTGGTGAATTCCAGGGTCGGATCGCTCTCGTTACCTGGAGCGCCGGTGCCTTGGTAGTCCTTTAAAAAGTCCTGCAGTTTCTGCACAACTTCCTTGTCATCCTCAAGATGTCCTACCTTTTGGAGAATCTGTTCCAGAAGTGGGTTTGCCACCTTGGTGGGCGACGACTGTAGCGAAGTTGAAGGCTTGATCCTGCGACCGTTCCTATCGTACTGTGGCCCGTTACCATTCGACGGACGCGGTAGGCTCTGTCTGCCGGGACTCCTCCTGGAGAAGCTTGACGAAGTACTCGTATTGGTGGCTTGACTGGCTGGATTTAAGAAAGTGTCAGCTTGTATACTAGGCCTCTGACGAATTTGTCTTCCGTTCCAGGTGTTGCTACCGGACGAAGTCTGATTTTGACCTAGCGCCAGCCGTGGCATTCCAGATGCTTTGCTCAGACTTCCCGTAGGAGGTTTCCTCAAGCTGGTCCTTCCACCGCCACGCTTCAACGGACTTCCTTCTGGACTGGAATTACCGTCTCTGGGAGTCCTACTTCCTGAAGATGCTCGTGAGAGATTGCTGCTCTCACGTACGATGGAACCGGCTCTGGGTGTTCTGTCGCCGGAAGAGGAAGCCACGCTCCTCGAAGGGGACGCCCTCAATGGACTGGAAGGTCCAATCCTAGTCTTTCTCAGACCCGTCTCGATGCTCTCTGTCTCCACGCAGGATCTTTCAAAATCCGTTTTGGTAGGTTGCTCTGTAAAAAAAGAAGAAATACATATAAATATACATAAAACCATGAAATTCCAGTGCCGCGCAAAACAGACTTAAAAAAATAAAAAAAAAAAATATTAAGCAATAATCTTCCCGCATATTAAGCGACCGACTCGAATCAAAAGTCCACGACCCGCGGGGCCACATGTAGGTAACTGCGTGTTTACCGAATGGCGAAATCACCGTTACACCCACGATCGTCCAAAAGTTATTATCCAGCCGTAGTAAATTGCGACTAGTAAAAAAGAATGAAGTTTGCCAAATTCGTCCAGACCGGCCCGGTTCGATACGCGAATCTCTCTCACTTAGCATAAAGCGTAGGTAGACATACTCGAGCATCCGAAAAGAACGAGTGGGTACCGTACAAAAAAAAAAAGTACGAGCAATGACACAACATTCGATTTTGTTAACTAATCACAACATATAACTACAGCAACGCAAAATATCATAGGATCTACAATAAAGTACAAAATATTCTAAACTACCATGCACCTATTTCTCTTGCACCATGGATGTCAAGGTGAAAGAATAGAGGCATTGTCTTGTATGTTAAATAAAAAAAATATATCAGGCATACTCTACACGTCATTTAAGGAATGATAGGACAAAATATCTACATGCTTGAGAAACTTCAATGTCTCCGAAACAAGGGCGTCGTATGTATAATTGTATACACATCCAGCTCCAGCAATACTTTTCACGTTAACTTTGCGCCTGCACAACGACACCGCGTTGTTATTGAGAATCAAATGTTGCTGGCGATTGTTCGGAGGACAGGTTGTTGCTTCGCCCACGCTCCGAGCGATCTTTCACAGTCGGTCGCTCGCTTAAATGTCAGCCCTACCTCTTCTCAGTTTCATACGTGCTACGTGCACTTTGAATATTAATGTTCTACAGGGTGGTCCAAGGAGAGGACACTCGCAACAAGATGACCTACGACCCGGGTCTAAAGTTTCCACGGGAACTGGACCAGCAGGCTAGATCATCAGGTCCGTCATCGCGTTACAAAAGAGGCCTTCGAGGATTCGCCACGTGTCACGAAGAAAAAAAAAATACAATTTTCATTAATTTTATCAGCAGATCCGATCAACAATGTACATGACTAGGTTGAAGCTTTCATGAAAACTATATAAATCCCTTTAACGTCAGCTTCTTAAGGAGTAGAAGCACATCGTCCGATTCGCTCATGGTGCGTGACCCGATGATCGATGATCGCTGGTTTACGCAATGCAAATCGTACACGATTCGTGAGTAAAATAAAAGTTCCATAGTAGCCATGGTCGCACTTTCGTAAAAACTGCCTACCAGGTACGGGAGGTAAACACCAGTGGCAGAGAAAAAAAAAAAGACGAAACCGAAAGTAATGTGCGTTAAACTCGTAAGCGACTCAAAGTACTTTGTACGCGTTAAACTCATTCTATACATAGATATACTAATCGCATGGGAATAGCGTTCAGACTTCAGCAAAGTGCAAAGTCTCGAAAGGTACCTTACAGTAGCCAGTGATACGCGCAGAGATTATTTTAAAGAAAGTCCTCCGGAGTAAATTCAATAATATTTGAGCATACGTCAATTCCAATAAAAAAGCTAATACACGTTATATTACTTATGCGCGCTGCGATTCGTTTGACTTGCTCCGGGTAATGATCGTTTCTGCGTATAACTCTAACGCTGTACTTAATGCACTGCTTATTCAGTACCCATATATTATTTATATACTGTATATATTAGATAGGGGGTTAGGTTATGTGTACATAGTCTTCGGTATGTGCTTAATAGAATCCCAACGATAATACGTCAAGAGTCGAGATAATGAACTCTCCAAAGCCTCTGTAGATGTCTTGTCTCTGTACAGTACAAGTACATGTGGATATAACGAGACGGTAAATGCGCGGAGCGCAACGCGTAAGCCGAGATAGCGCAGCTTCGAGAAGGTAGTCAAGTAAATGCGCTCGCTCTCCATTATTAAATCGAATGACTCGACCAGCTAAGTCACCACGTCGGTTAGTTTGCTCGAAATATTTCGCACCGTCTTCGACTTTCTTCGCAGCGGGATGCGAATTTTATCGTGATTTCTAATCGTCTCGGAGGCACAGCTAAAGGTAATAAAGGCGGATCCCTCGTGTACGCGGATGTATTGGAACTGCAATGAGAGAAAAGAGGGTAGAAGAGGCACTAAAAAAAATCATAGAACGTGTTACGACAGCTGCTTTCCCGCATTGACATTTTCAAACTTTCAATATTTCGCCATGACACGTAACGCCTTTTAATCTAACCTAACCCGATGCAATATCATTAAATATACTAGGATCGAGTACAGAGCTGGGCGTCAGTTCTAATAGCTACTCACTATGACAGTCAGCAACCGTAGGCGATCCCTGCGTACTACCGGTACCATTATTAAGGTTGGTACCGTTTGCTGGTGGTGGCTGCACTGCGCCAAGGCTTCGATATCCTTCATCCGATACCTCGCTACCATTGTCCGAATGTTCGCCGTCGCCCTGAGGAGATTTTACGTATTGGGCCTCCTTGGCGAACGTTACAGGACTTTCTGAATCCTCCGAGGGCTCTTCCTTGATAGCCGGTGGACTCGGGGTCGGGCTACGACTGCTGGAATCCTCTCGGCACTTGTAATTGTAAATCGATGGCTCGTACCTAGGGCTGTCGTCCTTGTCGACTGTACGGCGTGCCACGCCACCCTCCACCACGTATCTCTTGGAGAACTCTTCCGACAGAGGTACCTTGGCACGGATCTCTTGGTGCAGGTCCTTCTTGGGATCCTGGACAGGGAGAAGTGGACTCGTGAGTACATTGAGGGTCTTCTGGTTATAGGACTCTCCGTTGGCAATTTCGCGTGGGTGCATTTACCAGCTTTCGTGAGACTGTGATTCACGTGCTTTTACGTAATACTGCTTGAAACTACTTTTTATCTTTTTTCTCCTTTTCTTTGCGGATACAAGAGTTACTCAGTGTTCACGTCATATTTGGACAGGATGATTGGAGCATAAAAGAAATTCTTTTTTTCTAGGACTATTGTATAGTAATTACTTGTTACCTGATAGTTGTCTTGGTATCTGCTGTGATACATCTGCGACCGTCCGTCGTATTTGACCTGGCGAATTTCCTCGTTTAGCGCCTTCCTAGTGGAGTCCAGTGTACCCGTGCATCCGAACCTGGATTGGTCCACCTTCGGAGTAGGACTACGTGATCGAAGATTTCCAGTCTTTGGCGTAGGGGACCTGGACCTCTGTTTACTCAGGTCGACGGCATTGTGTCCCGGACTGCCCAAGAACTTTCTCTGAGGAGTTGGACTTCTGGATCGATTGCTTGTGTTCTTCCTCAGATCTTCGCCCAGCTGACGATTTGCACGGTGCGGCGTGGGTGATCGGGATCTGTTATTGGAGACGCTCCTGGATGTCTGTAGGGACAGTGGTTGTTGGCTCTGGGATTGAATAGCACCGCCGCAGGAACCCACGCTGGAGGCTGAACTCCTGCGCGTCCTTGGAGGTGATCTAAACATTTGATTACAAGGAGTTCTTAAACTCGAGCTTCGTTAACATTTAAAATATTAATTTCCTCTTTCCAACTCAATAATCTTTTGCGATATTATTTTGAATTTTTAAATATTGACCAACCGTTCATAGTGCACCTGCGCACTACCAAGATCGAAGGAGCCGCCTGCTTTCTGAATCAGCTTGGCCGAGATGGTCGAGCGATGAGCTGAAAACAACAATTTCTTTAAGTTGGCACAGCGAGCCAAAGAAAGGGGATACCAAAAGAATTCCTTTCACGTAACAGAAACTCTTGACACAGATAAAACATTGGACTTATCGATCCTGACTTACAAGTTCGGCAACGGCAGGGGTCGTGTTTGTCCAAATAATGGCTGAGTGTGTCCCAGCCACCTCCGACGCGCACCATCACATGATTCCTGAGGATCCTCACGAAAATGAGAACTTTCGTGTCGCCGATTCGATACTTTCCCTCGGACACGCGGATCATCGGAAACTGCGTGGGACAGGTGCACCTCTCGACCAGGTCGCGGACCTGTAAGACAGACAAAGGAAATCATCAAAATAAAAGTCACGAGTCATCGACCAAGTCTAAAGACTTTTGCCGTGTTAATCGACTTGGCAAACCTCTCACGATACTTTTAATGCCTTTTCTTTGTATCACCCTGTACACAGAGAGAGAACCTGTATTCTGCGGTTAGCGATATTAGCTTTAATTACCCTTGGAATTTCACGCTCCTGTCAATAATATCGAATTTTCCCGCGCGATAGATTCAACTTTGAGAATTTCTTAACAAAGAATTCCAATCAAACTGGGTTTCTCATTGCGGAACATGGGTCGAAGTGAAAAGAAACTACCAAAATTTGGTCTCGTTCCATCTATTTTGCAATTAGAAGTCAGAAAGCAAATGAAAACCCTCATGAATTCAAGAGGCATTACAAAAGACTTCAATCGCAAATATTTGCATGACCCAGAAGGCCGTGAAAAAATTTTGTAGAAAAAATCCAAATAAAATCCCATCATTTTTCCAGATGCAAATTATAACTGACATGCATATGAAATTCCGTATAGAAAGTAGCGCAGCACCAGACAGGTGTAACCGTCAGCTGTCATTGCTACTTCAGAGGTTTTATTAATCGAGCTTAATTAAACTGTCAATAACAATTAATAATGGCGTAACGGTTCAATATTGAAAACGATGTAATCTCGAAGCGCGCGTGCACATAAATGCCCTATGTAAACTGCATTCAAGATAGTAACGGACAATTAAATTGAAAGCGCATAAGAGAGCTTTCTCTCTCTCTCTCTCTCTCTCTCTCTCTCTCTCTCTCTCTCTCTCTCTCGTACAAAGGACAAGCAACTAAAAGATCCCTAGTCGAACAAATCAATTCCAATATTGTAATAATCGCTCGTGTATGCTCGTGACTAGTCGGCAATTGCCGACAAATAAATAACCTAAAGCGTAAATAAGCAGTCATAAATAACAGTAAAAGTACGACCGGTCCCTAGCAAGTTGTACGAACGAGAGACGTATTGCGAGTAACGCTTACTGGCGCGTAATTCAAATCGTCGATTAGAGCAAACAAGAACAACAAAAATGATAAAAATAAAGTTCCATTAAATAAAAAATGACCGCTTCAAAATCTCACGCCGATAAAACGACCACGATTAACCTATGGTGGAATTTCCATGTTTTTCGCAGCCCAGAATTCCACGCTATTCAAAAATAGAACGTTTATTTTTTATGGGGACCTTTACAGGCTGTTTCAATCGGATCAGTCCCTCTCGACTGAAATTTCTATATCGTGAAAGGGGCTTTAGGTAATAATAATTGAAAAAAAAAAACGCTAATACTAATAAACATGACCTGTCGCAAAAATCATTAAGCTCATAGATCATTAACCTCAATAATAATCACATAATTGTTAATGATCCTGCCTATGCGAATTGTCTATACGTATATACGTAGGTATATACAGGGTGTACACAATTAACAGGATATATCGGTAAGCGACACGTAACACGTTCGAATCTTATCATCGATCGATCGACCTAATAGGATCGATTGCGTACCAAAGCAAATCGTCGATATAAATGGCAACGAGTGTAAATCGATATCGATATCGATTGCGAATATCGAAATGAGTCCCCGTACGAATAGACACATGTATTGTCCTTTACGGCTCCAGGATACCAGTGAAATTTATTAAGGACAAGCGGTGCAAATCAATCGAATCCTTAGTCAGTCAGACCTATTGGGAAACGACCGTACTCTCTGCAGAGAGTGTCTTTCGAATTTTGGCCTTCGGCGAGCTCCGGCTTTTTCAATTCTTGCGATTCGATAACTTCGCAAGGTAGAAAATACAAAAATCGCCAACGACATCCTGAGCCAATCAAAACAAAGAAAATCGGTAACGTGCAGACGTCATGGGATTAAATGAAAAAAAAAAAAAGTCAATGCAATACGTCTGACCGCAATTGACATGCGAAAAGGGTATCATCAAATGACGACGAACCGACGTCACGATCGATGGTCCCAAATATTTAATCAGTCTCGACCGATGAGGGAATCGAATCGTATTAACGATCGTTATCGACAGGAAGAATCGAAGTGCGTAAATCGATTCAATCCCGAAAGATCCCGACGGTGCCCGAATCAAGCGTAGGTGGTACCATTGGTAAAGAAGAGCTTAATGATGATTCGCTTGCGTTTGGTAATAATTAAAAAATTATCGATCAACAAAATCGTTACGGTCGAATAATTTATTGAAATCGTTAATTGTAAACACGTACAAGTCCAAGCGCATATAAACGAACGCGCAATTTTCTATTGTAGGGATCTTCTAGGCTGATGAGTCATCCATAATCCGCAAGCAGGAACTCAGTGTTCCACGTAATTCTAATTCTAACCGATTACTCCCACTTTATACACATAGTATATACGTATATATAACGTTTACGATCGAAAGAAATAGACGAGTCATCGGTGTTCGGACCCGGGGCAATTTTTTCGATCTAAAGACCAATCGATCCCTCAAGAAGTCACGGGCTGTCCACGCTTGTGCGCTCTATCAGCTTTCATCTTTGTACCGGGTTGCCTTTCATCTCGATTCGCGAATCCGTCAGTAGTCGGGATCACCTGGTCTCGTTTGTCGATCACGATTCACGACTCAATTAGAAGGCATTAGCACGTAGCAAGGGTATCTAGAAGGCTGTGGAAAATAAATTTAAAAAAATAGAATCTGAAACCGGCGTGGTAAGACTAGAGATTAAAGGAAAAACTCCACGGGCTACACCTTGTGTATCTAATGATTTAATAAGATCAGGTATACGTTGGGTTCGGCAGATCGAGTTGCGACATTAAGAAAGTTGAGCGATTATGGCAATTAAGATCGGAGCGACCGCCCACGCGAGGAGACGAGAACGCGACTTGCCTCTTTTTCGTTGAGACGATGGACGAAGCCACGTAGACGTAAAACAAAAGACAGATGACATTCTATCCTATCGACAATGCCTTGAGCCGTGCCTGGCAATCAGAAATACTTATTACGCCAGTCGATTGCCTCCTGCGCCCAGTTCGAATTTACTGCCGCGGTTAATCTAGCATTTCCTGAAGGTGGTCCTAGTTGCGGCTGTGCCGCTACTACGGGCAGAGTCAAATCGCGAAAACGGGTTAGGACAAACAGCCGTGGCGCATTGCAGGTGAACGGCGGCGGCGTCGGTGCCACCGGCGTACAGGATGAATGGTTATGATGCTATAATGCAAGGCCGTTCTGAGCTTACGTAACCCAACCTAGACTAGCGCCCGAGCCGAGATAACCAGAGGTACCTAGACAAACAAGTCTACTGAAACCACAATAAATGCGTAATAAAAAATCTAAAATTGTTAAAAAAAAAATTAAAAAACACATTACCCACAGTCCAGACAACAACCATACACGTCGCACAGTCTCTCGCTTGACTTTGACTTTTACGCATATTATTTCACGTCGTAATTTATATTCCATTGAACGGCAAGACTGAATTGCGCAATTGCGGAATAAATTATTTGCCAAGATACGTTTTTTCTCTCAGAATTTTCATATTGTAATAGGCATGGCGTCGTGCGCCCACAGAAGCATACTAATCGTTAACTCGTTATGGGATATCCATTCTAGCTAAAGGTTAGAGCTCCGAGGTATAAAACCCGCGTTATATAAATACAGATAAGTATGTTGATCTATGGTTAACCATTGGGTATATAGTGGCCGATAAAATATGTATACCCGATGAGAATCGGAGAGTGAGTGAAGGTTTCGCAAAGGCAGGACCTTGATTAGCGTAGTAGCCAGAGAATCACGATTGACTATCCTTCCTTGTGAAATGACGCGATAAAGTGGTCTTATAAAATGACATCACTTTTTTTCAATCTCGTATCGCATCACGAAACCACCTTAGTGACATTATTTTTTTTGCATTAAATCAAACGCGATTGAAGAATGTCGATCGTGTCCGCTCGATTCAGCGAAAAAGATAAACTTGACGGGATTTATACGGAGAAAGTGATGGGACCGAACGAGAGACCGATCCCTATCTCGATACTAATCTCGCCCATCGATCTTCCCAGGATCGAAATGGGAGGATCATGGGAAGCAGAGGATTGACCCAACTTTTAACCTCGATCCGCCATCTTTGACGTGACCCCTTTACCTTTTTCTTTTACCTACTACGTGAGTTTTTAATATATTTTTTTTTCTCTCTTCCCAGTACCTTCACAATCTCTGGACTAATTTTTTTTTTAATTATCAGCTTTCATTCCATTGCTTCCTCCCCTCGCACTCTTGACTTTTCATGGCAGTGGTCTTAGTATCTAATTAACCATGCTAATTGCTCTAATTGTTCTAGAGACCTCGGCGCTACGAGAATTCCGAACGTTATACGCACGTACAACGTATATTACTACGTAAGTACAACATCCGCGCACCGGTATTGTATGCTTATTAAACCGGATGTGACACCAATTTGAAATCTACCGGTAGGTGCACTGCGTAGTTGCCTGCGTCGATCTTTGATATTTTGTGCAAATAAAAAAAAAATATTTTCACGACCCGCTAGTACTGCTTGAGTATCGCTTATAAATAGTGAATATCCGTATGGAGGTAGGAAATATGCATATGTGGATTTTGAATTTTTTTTCTTCATAATTTGTAACAAGAACTGCCAGCTATGAAGTTCGAAAATATTTGTGGAAAAAAAATTAATTTTTTTTTTACATAGCTTGGAATGCGTAACACGTGCGACGAGAGATTTGAAAAATGACGTATGGCAAAGTGTCGAAATCGATGGCGCCTTAACGGTGAATTGACGCCAACAATGGGCAGTTACGTATCGCGTATTAATTTCGCAAGATCGTTAATTAGTCAGTTGTCAGTGGAACGGCGAAGCGGGCTTATTCTCATTCGAATGGAGAGCCTTTTATTAGTCGAGATAAAAAGAATGGAAGAACGGAAGAAAAAAGTGAAACTATCATGCCAGTTTCGTGGGAATGACTGAAG